CCCAAACCCGAGCCTGGCCTCTGCTTCGGGATGGTCTCCAAGCCCCCTCCATGGCCCTTCACTTGTAGAGTTGTGCCAGATAAGATTATATCTAATCAATATGACTAGGACATAACATGTGTTTTTGTTTTTGTTTTTTAATATATTTTATATTGATTTTTCTTACAGAGAGGAAGGGAGAGGGATAGAGAACTAGAAACGTCAATGAGAGAGAAACATCGATCAGCTGCCTCTTGCACACCCCCTGGGGGGGAGAGGGGATGTGCCCGCAACCAATGTACATGCCCTGGACCGGAATCGAACCTGGGACCTTTCAGTCCTTAGACCGATGCTCTATCACTGAGCCAAACCTGTTTTGGCGTGTTTTTTTTTTTAAATTATTATTATTATTATTATTATTATTTTTTTTTTTTTTTTTTATGAGAATGCACTGAAGTTGCCTTTTTAACTTCTTCAACTTCTGCAAATGATACCTTTTGTTTGGAACTTAGGTTCAAGCCAGGGTCAAGATTTTTTTCCCTGGGGAAGAGAGGATTCAAATCTGAGATGATTCACATCTTGCAGGTTTTAGCTGAACTTTACTAATCCAGATCTTTACCAAAAAGGAACTGGTAGGAAGGGTGCCATGACTAAAAAAAAAAAAAAAAAAAAAAAAAAGGGAAATAGCAAACATCGTGACTTTTGAAAATGACTTATTCACCCGTATTTTAAGTTTCTTCCTGTTTTAAGCAGAGAACATTTGCATCTTTAAACTTTTTATAATGCCAGAAGTTGATAACATGTTTTGGAAGTTTCTAAGCTATCAGTTATTATTATTATTATTTTTTTTTTGCGTTGCTTTTTAAAGAATTTTAGCTTGGCTGCCCTGGCTTGTGTCATTCAGTGGTTAGGACGATGGTCCATGCATCAAAGGGTCTCTGGTTCAATTTCCCATCCAGGGCACTTACCTGGGTTGCAGGCTTCACCCCCACCTATAGGGGCACGTGGGGGAGGGAACCAGTTGATCTCTCTCTCTCTCTCTCTCTCTCTCTCTCTCTCTCTCTCTCTCTGTCTCTCTCCTACCACTCTCCCTCCCTTTCTTTATCTCTAAAATTCAATGGGAAAAATGTATCCTCAGGGGATTAACAGTAATAACAACAAAAAACAATTTGGCTTGGCTGGTTAAATATCTTGTTTTGATTTTAGTGATTGTATATGGCATCTTGGATGTGACCTCCTCATAAAGATCTTTTGATGAATACAAGTTGTATTTACTCCTTCCAAATAGTGGGCTTGTCAAAATTGTTTTCCTCCACTTTACCAGTTAAAATGTACATTACTTTTCCCTCATACTGGGAAGCCACATCTGAGTTTCTGAGTGCATTTGTTAAAAATTCAAGTTTTATTTTTGCAGCCTACTCTTACCAGGTTCATTTTCCATATTGCTAAGGAACATATATGGGGTAGTTTAATCAAAGAAAGTCTCTGGATAACAATTCTCTTTTAGTTGATGAATGTCTGAACATATCTATCTCATCTTTGCCACTGAATGATCATTTAAATGGATATAGATGTCTAGGTTGACAGGTATGTTTTCTCAGCCCTTTGAAGATACTATTCCATCATTGTTTGGGCTAGGTGAGAAATTTCTATTCTTTTTTTTTTTTTTTTTTTTTTTTTTGGTCCTATTGTTTGGGATTCAATATGCATTTGTAATTTGGGAACATTCACTTTTCTTCAATTTTGAAAAATATTAGTTATTGTATATTTTACTACACTTGATCTTAGCCAAAAGGCCAAGAAGCGATAGTTATTGTATATTTCAATATTTGGATCTATCCCAGCATATATGGCAGGCTGAGATTCTGGGTCAGAGGGAAGAGATTTTTTTTCAGATCCCTGTTCAATTAAGGCATCTGAAGCCTTTTCCTGTACCTGGCTTTTATGGAGAGTCTACTTTCAGTTCTCTTCATGCATTGGACCAAGTTCCTTCTCTGCTCCTTCTTCACCCAGGTATTTCTTCCCTAGCCCTAATATGGATATCTAGTTGTGGTTTCACAGTGGGCCCCAGGATTTCAACTTCCTCCCTAATCTGGGTCAGCAGATATCTGCAGCATAATTTGCCCCTAATGTGAGGCTTCTCAGACTAACGTCCTCCCAGGCCCAGGACGAATAATTCCTCACTACCCTGTCTGCTTTCTGAATTCTTCAAGCAGATGGTTTGTATACTTTGTCCAGACCCCCATCCCTCATTTAGGTATGACTCCATACAGTCTAGCTTTAGCTATTGCCTTTTCCTTCCTCAGTGTCTTCCATTGAGTTCTCTGCCCCATGCTGTAATGTATTGAGGAATGAAAAGGAGAGAAAAATGACTCTAAACTTAAGTGTCAAGTTGTTAACTGTAGTTTTAGCATCATCAATAATTATTATTGTTGAAAACTCACCATGCTATAGGTACCATATAATATTTGTAGGAATAGCCCAAGATCTATGTTCTTAGAAATTTTACATCTTAAAGAAACAAGGCCAGGAAAAATTAAAAATAGATGTGTTTGACCTTAACTCTTAGCAAAAAAACGAATATATGTTTCTTAAGATCTGTATTATAAAGTGGAAAAAAAATAAAAAAGAATTTTGGTTGCCCAGTACAGTTATACTGAGAGGATTTTTCAATAACAATTAACCAGAAACACAATGGAATACATATAGTTCCAAGTAGTGACCGTCTCATCTTGATCCTATTGATTTAAGATGTAGGAACAAAACGACATCAATAGTTTCTATTGTCTCCTGTTTCTGCTCTTTTCATATTTATTGTTTTCCTTTCTTTATTACCTGGATTGTTGTGTTATTGTTGTTTTTTTAAATTGTGTACTTTTGAAAAATTGTAGACAGATATTTGAGGCCTAAAATTATGTTATCTTCTAGAAAAACATCCTTTGCTTCTGCAGATATCCATGAGCACTAGCATTCCAGAAATCATGTTGATTCATTTTCAGAGATTAAGACTGTCTGAGCCATTGAGACAAATCAAAGCTGTGCTATAATCCCTATGAGGATTTGTTTTCCTATGGTTCAGCCTTAGCGGTCTCATCCATGACTGGCCCGACCTTAATCTTTACTCCTTGTCTTTCAAGGCTGTCAAAAGTGCTGCAACTTGCCAGTGTATGCTTACTGTGTTCAAAGCGATAGAAGGCAATATGGAAAGTTTGGGCAGAGAATCAGAAACTATAAAAAATCACATAGCAGATGAGAAGAACAACCAAATAGAAATTATAAAGATGAAAATTGCAATGACCAAAAAAGTTAAAAGCAGTGGATGGATTGAATAGTAGATTAAACACAGTTAAAGAAAGAGTAATAAACTAGAACACATTTCAGAAGAAAATACCTAGTCTGGAACTTGAAAAGACTTAAAATATGGAAAGAACAAAAGAGAATGAGATGTGGAGGATATAGCTAAATCAATGCTTAGGTGAACATTCACGACCTTAAATGGGTATATGAGAAATGAAGAATGGCTGAAAATTAATGAGCAAATATGTTCCTCAAGAAATTAGAAGAGTAAAATCTAGAGAAAGCAGAAGCAAGGAAACAGTAATGTGAGGCTAGAAATTCATGAAATAGAAAATAGGGGATCTATAAAGTGAGAAGTTGTTTGTTTGTTTTTTAAATGCCAATAAAATAATTCAAAATTTCAAGATATTAAAAAAAAAAACACCAGGTACAAATAACCCATCTAAGGAATAAAATAGGGGAATTCATTATAGGACATGCAGACAAATAAGAAGACATTATAAGTAACTGTCAATAACTTTAAAAATTTAAAAACAACAGTCAAAACCGGTTTGGCTCAGCGGATAGAGTGTCGGCCTGGGGACTGAAGGGTCCCAGGTTCGAATCCGGTCAAGGGCATGTACCTTGGTTGCGGGCACATCCCCAGTGGGGGGCGTGCAGGAGGCAGCTGATCGATGATTCTCTCTCTTGGATGTTTCTAACTCTCTATCCTTCTCTCTTCCTCTCTGTAAAAAATCAATAAAAAATATATTTAAAAATTTAAAAACAACAAAATCTTGAAGAACACTATGTACCAAAACTGACAGAAGAAGAAAAAGAAAATATGAATAATTCCATAGCTGTTAAATAAGTTTAATGTATTTCACACACATACACACACACACACACACACACACACAAATAAGATAAACAAATAAGAACAACAAGAACTGCAGGCTCAAAAGGTGGCCTTAGTGAGTTCTAAAGGAAAGAAAATTTATAGGGTAATTTAACTTCTGAATGTAGGTATAGAGATTCTAAACAAAATATTGGTAAATAAAATCCAGAAATATATAAAAAGTTGAATACATCCAGACTAATTTGGGTTTATTCTAAAAATGAAAAATTGTCTTAACACTGAAATTGATTAATGTAATCATCTGTGTTTATTAACAGGGTAAAGGAGGAAATTCATGTTATTATTTCAATAGATACAGGGAGAGAAAAAAGAATTTGATAAATTCAACATTTAGTAATGAAATAAAAGTATAAGGGTTGGGCCAAAACCCTTGGCTCAGTGGATAGAGTGTCAGCCTACAGACTGAAAGGTCCGGGGTTCAATTCTGGTCAAGGGCATGTACCTTGGTTGCGGACACATCCTCAGTAGTGGGTGTGCAAGAGGCAGCTAATCGATGATTCTCTTTCATCGATGTTTCTAACTCTCTGTTCCTTTCTCTTCCTCTCTGTGAAAAATCAATATATATATATATATATATATATATATATATATATATATATTTTTTTTTTTTTTTTTAAAGGTATAAGGATTGGAAAAAAGAAATACAATCATCACCTAGCTGGTGATATGATTGTATACATAGAAAAATATTTTTTAAACCTATAAACTGTGGAATTACTAAGTTAATTCAGCAAGGTTGCTCAATGCATGGTAAATATATACAATATGCTGTCAAACACAATCACTCACTTGAGCCTCTTTTATTTGTAGGTTGAATCACGGGACGATGCCACATGCTTTGTGGACAGTGTGGGTCTTGGGGACCGTAATCAGCCTGTTCAAGGAAGGGGCCCCTGATCAGGCTTCTCCTCTGACTTGTGACCCCACGGGGGTCTGCGATGGCCATTCCAGATCTTTAATCTCCATCCCTTCAGGGCTCACGGCAACTGTGACGAGCCTCGACCTGTCCAACAACAAGATCGCCTATGTCAGCAACAGCGACCTGCAGATGTGTGTGAACCTCAGGGCTCTGAGGCTGGGATCCAATAGCATTGACATGATAGAAGAAGATTCCTTTTTCTTCCTGGGGAGTCTTGAACATTTGGACTTATCCTATAATTACTTAGCTAATTTATCAGCCTCCTGGTTCAGGCCCCTTACTTCCTTGAACGTCTTAAACTTACTGGGAAACCCTTACAAAACACTTGGGAAAACACCTCTTTTTTCTCATCTCACCAAATTGCAAATCCTAAAAGTAGGACATAGTTACCTCTTCACTGAAATTCAGGAAAAGGATTTTGTTGGGCTAACTTTTCTCAAAGAGCTTGAGATCGATGCTTCCAATCTCCAGAAGTATGCGCCTAGGAGTTTGAAGGTGATTCAGAACATCAGCCACCTGATCCTTCATGTGAAGCAGCCCACTTTCTTGATGAAGATTTCTGAGGATCTTTTCAGTTCCTTGGGACATTTGGAACTGAGAGATACTCATTTGGACAATTTCCATTTTTCAAAAATATCTACCAATGAAACCAAGACAATTAAAAAGTTCACCTTTAGAAATGTGAAGATCACGGATGAAGGTTTTAATGAAATGGTGAAACTATTGAATTACGTTTCTGAAATATTAGATGTGGAATTTGATAGCTGCACCCTCAATGGAATTGGTGATTTTGACATAACTGTTATGGACACAAATAAAGATATAAGTAAAATAGAGACATTAACAATACGGAGATTGAATATTCCAAATTTTTACTCATTTTATGATCTGAGCAGTTTATATTCACTTACTGGAACAGTTAAGAGAATCACGATAGAAAGCAGTAAGGTTTTCCTAGTTCCTTGTTCACTTTCGCAACACTTAAAATCATTAGAATATTTGGACCTCAGTGGCAACTTAATAGTTGAAAACTCATTGACAAACGCAGCCTGTGAGTATGCCTGGCCCTCCCTGCAAACCTTAATCTTGAGGCAGAATCATCTGAGGTCATTAGAAAAAACTGGGGAAGTTTTGCTTACTCTGAAAAACCTGACTAACCTTGATATCAGCAAGAATAATTTCCATCCTATATCTAAAACTTGTCAGTGGCCAGAAAGGATGAAGTATTTGAACTTATCCAATACAAGAATACAGAGTTTAACCAAATGCATTCCTCAGACGCTGGAAGTTTTAGATGTTAGCAATAACAGCCTCAGTTCGTTTTCATTGACTATGCCACAACTCAGAGAACTTTATATTTCCGGAAATAAGTTGAAGACTCTACCAGATGCCTCCTCCTTACCCATGTTACTCGTCATGAGAATCAGCAGAAATACAATAAATACGTTCTCTAAGGAGCAACTTGATTCGTTTAAAAAACTGAAGACTTTGGAAGCTGGCAGCAACAGTTTCATCTGTTCCTGCGAATTCCTGTCCTTTACTCAGGAGCAGCAAGCACTGGCCCAAGTCCTGGTCGACTGGCCAGGAAACTACCTGTGCGATTCTCCATCCCATGTGCGGGGCCAGCGGGTGCAGGACACGCACCTCTCGGTTTCCGAGTGCCACAGGGTGGCTGTGGTGTCTGCCGTGTGCTGTGCCCTTTTCCTGCTGATCCTGCTTGCTGGGGTTCTGTGCCACCGTTTCCATGGCCTGTGGTACATGAAGATGATGTGGGCCTGGCTCCAGGCCAAAAGGAAGCCCAGGAGAGCCCCCCCGAGGGACCTCTGTTACGACGCCTTTGTGTCTTACAGCGAGCAGGATTCCCACTGGGTGGAGAACCTGATGGTCCAGGAGCTGGAGCACTTCGACCCTCCCTTCAAGCTGTGTCTTCATAAGCGGGACTTTGTTCCAGGCAAGTGGATTATCGACAATATTATCGACTCCATCGAAAAGAGCCATAAAACCATCTTCGTGCTTTCCGAGAACTTTGTGAAGAGCGAGTGGTGCAAGTATGAGCTGGACTTCTCCCATTTTCGCCTCTTTGATGAGAACAACGACGCTGCCATTCTCGTCCTGCTGGAGCCCCTGGAGAGGAAGGCCATTCCCCAGCGTTTCTGTAAGCTGCGCAAGATCATGAACACCAAGACCTACCTGGAGTGGCCCGCCAATGAAGCTCAGCAGGAGGGGTTCTGGTTAAATTTGAGAACTGCAATAAAGTCCTAAGTTCCTTCATTAAAGGCCAGTCTTGTACTGGTGGTGGTCTTTATTTTATTTAAAATATATTATTTATTTTAAAAAATATATTTTTAAATATATTTTATTGATTTTTTTTTTTTTTTAAACAGGAAGGAAAAGGGATAGAGAGTTAGAAATATCAGCCAGCTGTCTCCTACATACCCCCTACTGGGGATGTGCCCACAACCAAGGTACATGCCCTTGACCAGAATCGAACCTGGGACCCTTCAGTCTGCAGGCTGATGCTCTGTCCACTGAGCCAAACCGGTTAGGGCTGAAATGTATTTTTATTGGTTTAAGAGAGGAAGGAAGAAGGAAAGATAGAAACATCAATGATGAGAGAGAATCATTGATCGACTGCATTCTGCATGCTCCCCTGCATTGGGGATGGAGCCCGCAACCCGGGTATGTGCCCTGACTGGGAATTGAACCTTGACCTCCTGGTTCATAACTCAACACTCAACCACTGAATCATGCTGTTGGCTGATAGTGATCTTTATATCACTAGCTATAACTAAGTCCATTCTGATACAAGTATATATAAACCACATGAGGCTTTGCTTACTAAAACTGTTCTAGTTTTATCTAGAGTGCTGTTTTATAAAAACTACTAGCAGATTAAGAAAAAAAGGGGGGAGAGGATTTGTTTTTTCTTTATCCTGGGAAGTAATCAGGATCTAAGTCCATTATTGTTTTCTGAGTTATCTGTAGCAAATGATTTAGTTCATTAGGAAATTGCACAGATAAACAGAAGATTTCAAATGACTGTAGTCAGCTCTGCCAGCGGACTCATCCATGCCTACAGAGGGTGTTGGTCATCCCATCCAGCTGTCTCCTCGTTCAAAAGGCAAAATGTTAGGGTCATCCAGCCCCAATATTGCTATTCCTAGAAAAAAAAAAAAGTGTTGGTTGTCCCCATCAGACTTTACAGGATACAAATTACCTAAAAAAGCATGTGTTTTCATGTTAAGTGGGCCTGTCTGTCTGTCTGGGTATTTGATAGGTTTCTTTAGCCATCGTTACTTGAGTGAGGGTACACAACACAAGATACAGTAAATTACATTTTTCACTGAAAATTAAACTAATAAAGTAACTAAAATACTCAGTTTGGAAGAATTTGAAAGAAGCTGTCCATGTCCTGTCTCCTCTTCCTCTAGCCTCTAACTATAGGTGCAGTTCTAATTTGTCTCGAGTGACCCTGGCTCTCAGCCCCGTCTTCTAGTCTGTCTCCCTGGCATCGTGGTGCTTTTTGCTTCTTTCTGATTCCTTTTTTTTTTCCTTCTGAAAATTTATAATAGTACCTGTGAGCTAAATATATTTTTAAACAAGTATAAACCTCTAGGTTCCTCATGAGAAAAAATATTTGGCACACAATTATTTTGAAAGATAGATAATATTTCCCTGTATTAATTTTTATAATGTAGATTTAATAACACATTAAATTTAATGCAATTCATGCTATTTACTGATTTGGTGCAACTACCTTCTTAAGCTTGGAACCACGTGTGAAAGGAAGTGAACTTCCTTTGACCCCCGCTCAGTTCTCAGCTGGAACTGGGTTTGTGTGGTTAATTGGGCTCTGGAGTCAGAAAGTCCTGGGTTAGTAGGTATGCATCTTGACCCAAAATATTTTCCCTTTAAGTAGGGATAATAATATCGAGATCATGTGGCCTGATGTAGATATCAATGTATAGCAATGTTCACTGACTCCCTGTGCACATGCCCCTCGGTCACCATTCCCTCTGGAGGGGTGAGGAGGGCGAGAGGACCAACCCATGAGAATGAGAACCATGAGGTGGTTGCATGAGGCAGCAGGGATGCCTGGCATAGTTGTTGGCTGTTGTTTTCCAAGAAGTAATTCATCTCCTTATGTGTTGTGGTTGACGAATGGATATTTTTCTGTTAAGGGTACTAGCAGGAATATAAGTGATCCTGTTGTTCACAGAAAAATATCCCAAAGAAGTAAGTTCATTAAGTGTATAACAGGCTATAGTCCCTGGACACTCATATAATACTTCTCTTCCTCATACAAACCCCCAGGAGAGTGTGTGGAGGAAACAGTGGCCAGACTAAGGAAAACATGGAAACGTTCAGGAGAAGGAAACTTGAGGAGGTGCCGCAGAAACCAAACACAATAATGGACTTTTTGCTTTACTTCTCTATTTCCTACATTAAACATAATGCTAAATTATCATGAGAACTAGATACATTTACCATGCACTTGATCTCTTAGATTGAATTGCAATAATTTGCACAGCAATAGAAAAATAGCTTAATACTTTATTGATAGATTTAAAGGAATATTTTAAAAAGAATCTTTATTTTTCTGATTGTGAATGCTAAACATGTTCACTATAGAAATCTTGGGAAAAAGATAAAATTATAAAAAAAAAAAAAAAAAAAGAGGAGGAGGATCCAAGATGGCTGCTCAGGTAGACATCTAGCCGCGGCAGCACACAACAATTTCAATGAAATACAACTAAAATGTAGAGTGGACATTGCCCAGAGCTACAGGTAGTCGACTGACTGAATTTTCTACAACAAGAAGGAAAGAGAAAACCAGAAAGAAAATCAGAGGAGCTGAAAAAAAGCCTAAGGTACGGAGACATGCTGCGCGCGCGTGCCCGCCCGCACGCGCGCACGGAGAGGTCGCAGCCGGAGAGGAGGAGAGGGCGGGGAGCCGCCTTTCCTTCCCTAGCAGGAAGGAAATAAAACCCCCAGCCGGGGCTGAACCCCCGAACCGGCAGCGCTGAGCCCCCCCGAACCGGCAGCGCTGAGCCCCAGTTATGGGCCAGACCCTGGGGACCCAGGCCCCAGTGGGAGGAGACGGGGCAGTGAGGCGGAAAAACGGCGAAAAGCAGGGCCCCGGGAGTCGCGCGCAATGCGCGCAGAGGACTGAATGTTGACTCTGATGCTGGGTTGCCCTAGCCGGAAGAAACAAGGCCTCCGGCGGCGCTGAGCCTCAGTCCGGACTGCTCCGAACCCCAGTTCTGGACTAATCCCTGGGGACCCAGGCTCAGGCAGAGGGAGACGGGGCTGTGAGGTGGAGTCCGGGGAGAGCGGCGAAAGGCCGGGCCCCCGGGACTCGCGCAAACTGCGCACAGAGGACAGTCTGTGGGACTCGCGCAAACTGCGCGCAGAGGACAGTCTGTTGACTCTGATGCTGGACTTCTCTAGCGGGAAGGAGAAAAAAAAAAAGCTCTAGGCTGGGGGAACGCAGAGGGGAGCGGAAGCCCCTGCCGGACTCCAGCCAACCGGGCACCAGCAAGGAGGCGGGCCACGGGGCCCCTGGGGGCGTGGGTGCCCCTGAGCCTTTGACCACTGAGCTCGGGCAATGGAGCCAAGGCCGGGGGCTGCTTCCTGGGCGGCGCCGTCCCGGCAACAGGCTGAAGCAGCGCAGGAGCCCGCGGAGAACAAAGGGGTGCCACAGGCCAACCTGCTGAGCTCCCAGGACAAGGAGGAAGAAACCAAAGAAGTTCTCAATGTGAAGAAATCAAGTGAGAGCAAAAAATAGTAAAATTACTTAAGAAAGAATACAAAGAAGATCTTGAAAAATCAAAGACTAAGTCAGAACTCAACTCACCAGCCAACATTGCAACATAAATGCGTTTTAAAAAGAAAAAAAAAAAAGGACAGAATGTTGGAACAGCGACGGCCAGGCCTAGAGTGGCCAGGCACAAGGCAGTGGCAGCCAGACCCGGAGCAGCAACGGCCAGGCCCCAGAACAACAGCAGCCAGAACCAGAGCATCAACAGCCAGCACTGGAGTAGCCAGACCTGGGACAGTGGCAGCCAGGCATGAGGCGGAGGCGGCCAAGCCCAGGGTGGCCAGTCCAGGAACACCCAGACCCGGAGTGGCCGGGCCCGGAGAAGCCGGGCCCAGAGCAGCCGGGGTGGGAGCAGCCAGACCCAGAACAGCAGTAGCCAAGCCCAGAGCATCCAGGTCGGGAGTGGCCAGGCTCGGAGCGGCCGGGCCCGGGGCAGCCGGGCCCAGAGCAGCCGGGTCAGGTGCGGCCAGGCCCGGAGCAGCGGCTGCCAGGCTGGGAGCGGCCAGGCCCGGGGGAGCAGGCGGGTCGGGTGCGGCCAGGCCCGGAGCAGCAGCTGCCAGGCTGGGAGCGGCCAGGCCCGGGGGAGCAGGCGGGGCTGGTGCGGCCAGGCCCGGAGCAGCGGCTGCCAGGCTGGGAGCGGCCAGGCCCGGGGGAGCAGGCGGGGCTGGTGCGGCCAGGCCCGGAGCAGCGGCTGCCAGGCTGGGAGCGGCCAGGCCCGGGGGAGCTGGCGGGTCGGGTGCGGCCAGGCCCGGAGCAGCGGCTGCCAGGCTGGGAGCGGCCAGGCCCGGGGGAGCAGGCGGGTCGGGTGCGGCCAGGCCCGGAGCAGCGGCTGCCAGGCTGGGAGCGGCCAGGCCCGGGTGAGCAGGCGGGTCGGGTGCGGCCAGGCCCGGAGCAGCGGCTGCCAGGCTGGGAGCGGCCAGGCCCGGGGGAGCAGGCGGGTCGGGTGCGGCCAGGCCCGGAGCAGCAGCTGCCAGGCTGGGAGCGGCCAGGCCCGGAGCAGCAGCAGCCAAGTCCAGAGCAACTAGGTTGGGAGCGGCAGTGACCAGACCCGGAGCAGCTGGTTGTGGAATGAACCAGAGCAACAGAGGCCAGGCCCTGAGCAGCCAGGCCCGGAACAGCTCGCTCCTTGCCTGCCCCTGCCCCACGGCTGCTTCTCAGACATGGCTGGAAACTTTCGTGGGAACTTGAGGATCTGCTGAATCAAGTGATGAAGGCTTAGATCTGGATGTGTTGAGTTAGTTTAGGACTGGGGTGTTTATCTGTGAGTGCCTTGGGTGGGGCCTGGATGAGGCTGGTGGACCTATTGGGAAATATCTTTTGTGTGAAGTGTATCATTGGGCATGTGGAGGTATTATTGATATGAGAAAATGCTAAGTAACTGATTTACTATCTGAAAAGGGATTTACTATTGGGGAAATTGAGGGAAGAAGAGACTGAACATAAACTGCACCTATGGATGAGGACAATGGGGGATGGGGAGGGGGCAGAAGGTGGGGTGGGAACCTGATGGAGGGGGGAAGAAATGAGGAACCTTTGTAATAATATGAACAATAAAGATTGATTTAAAAAAAAAAAAGAAAAAAAAAAAAAGAAAATAAGTATCAGCTCTTATCCTTGCACCTTCAGATATCCACAGATAACTATGTAGTGCATAGGTCACTACTATTTTATATATAAACAGTGGTGGGCAAAAATAGGTCTACAGTTACTCATATGGAAAACACAGAGTTTATTCTTTAATTATTTATTTATTAATTATTGTATTATTTTCTCTATATATGTATATACAACTTCACAACTTGGGATTCAATTATAAATATGTAAACTGCATAAAAATAGCATCTTCATTTTTTTTCCCTGAAATTGTTTAGCTATTATCTAACATATTTTTGAACTCTGAGGGTCATTCAGAATTCCAAGCAAATTCATACTGGCTTACTTGCCCAGGGTTCTAAATTGTTCTAAAAGCTACCTTTATGCACCTATCCACTGAAGATAAGTGGCAATACATTGGAGGTCAATTTATTTTATTTATTTTTTTAAAAATATTTTTATTGATTTCTGACAGGAAGGGAGTGAGAGATAGAAACATCAATGAGAGGAAATCATTGATCGGCTGCCTCCTGCACGCCCCCTACTGGGGATCAAGCTCACACCCAGGCATGTTGACCAGAATCAAACCTGGGACCCTTCAGTCCGCAGCCTGACGCTCTATTCGCTGATTCATGCTGGCTAGGGCCAGAGGTCAATTTAAAGGCTCCTTCTTTTCCACAAAAAAACCTAATTTTTAGTAAGTATTTTATCCGACTATGAGCTCATTTGTCAATAAAATCAAGACTATAAAATAAAGAATCTTGTGTTAGCTCCTTAACCCTTGTACATTCCTGGTATGTAGTAAGTATCGATAGCTGAAATGTTGGCTGAGTAGAGAAATAAACCAGAGTTAAATCTTCTAGCAATCTGGATGCTGAACCAATCATAACACTGAAGCACTGGGCAATTTCACGAAGGCCAATCATGATCAGACAGAAATCCTAGTGTGTTTCTTTGTTAAAACAATGATGGAACTTTGCAGAGCATTACGTACATTGCCAATATTTTTGACAGTGTGTGTGTTTTTTTCTACTTCTTATGAATGTAATACCCTTAAATATTACAGAGTAGATGTCTGGTGTCATGTATACAGTGTTGGCAGTTTAAGAAATGACCAGTAATTTAAAAAGAATTAATTTTGGGGAGTCTGACATATCATTCATGGGTTAATTCTTTCTGACTGGTCTTTGCTATTCTGTTAATTTTGTTCCCTCCTGCCAAAGGATTATTTTATTCTTTCAATAAATATTTATAGAGTGCCTATTACATACCAGGCACTGCTCCAAGTGCTGGAGAAACAGTAGGGAAAAAAACAAACAGATAAAATTCTCTGCCTTCATTGGAGGAAAAGACAAACAATAAACAAATTATGATTGCAGGTATGGATAACTGCTATGTATGAAATAGAAGCAGAGGTTGGCAACAGAGTGCCTGTGTGTGTGTGTGTGTGTGTGTGTATACACAGAGTCACACAAAAGATTGAGAGTGATTCTCTCCACTTCAGTGCAGCCCCTGGGTGAGCTGCATGCATTTGGCAGACTCAGGAAACCTGGCATAGCTCTGGCCCACTGAGTGCGCTGTGGCACCTCGTCTAGAGGATTCAGGAGTAATTGTCGCTATGGAAGGGCTTAGTGGTGCCAAAGTGGCCAAGTGGTCACAGGCACAAAGAGTAGAAAAGGCCTTATCCTTCAACCGCAGATTACTTAACAACTCTGCCGGCTTCTCTGAAGATGCTAGGTTGATCAGAAGGTATCAGTTATCACCAAATGGTCTGTGTGAGAAGTGCTTTGCCAACCTCTGAAACACTCTACAAAGGAGATGGTCATCAGTCAAATCAGAGGAGGGACGTCCTTGGGGGCGTTTGTAATACACAGGTTGCATGTGTGGATTAGAAAACAGCCGTAATGGGAAAGATGCAGAGCGTGTTTCGTTTATTTCGTTGTTCAGTTCTTTAAATTCTTTCCACATAAATTGCCCTAGGTAGACGATTCAATCTTATTCAGGTCTCTAAACTCTCGGAATCATATCTAAAATTAAAAAAAAATATATCAATAGTCAGTCTAGAATCAAGGATTTGAAAACAGATCAACATGCAACACCTTGCTTCCTGATCATTCCAGCCCTAGTGAGTAGCTAATGCCTTGAACTATTCCTATCACCATGGGTTGCCAGGCTACCAAATAACGAAGCCAATCCAAGATTTGTCCATACAAAATGTGTGTGCGCTCCCAGCTACGTCTCAGTTAAGGAGGTTGCTCTGTATATGGCCAGATAGCAGAAATATTTATAAGTATCATTTGCAAATATAAGCAATGGCATGAGTGGGCATTTTCTCTCATAGTTCTATGTGCTCATTTAAAAACTCTATACATGATTTTTATAGCACATCATATCTCTGATAGCAATGTTACATGCATGAAGGCAGTTTTTCACATGCAGGTTTTTTGTTTGTTTGTTTTCTATTTAGTCTAGTAAAAAGAGCACCAACAATATTCAAACATTTATTCTCAAAAGATTATAAATATAAACCAATTCTTCCTTATTATCTTTATGATCATTTAAGGTGACATTTATGATCACATTGTGACCAATTTTAAAACAAAGATTTATGTACTGTGGTTTTATAAGTTATTCACCCCAAATGGTTCTGAGCTCGGTCTTCTCACACAAGAATGGGAATTCTGGGAGAGGGGATGAAAAGAAAGGCGGAAGGAGTATCACACACCTTTAGCTTTGGTTGTGCTTGAATTGCACGGACTCACTGAGAAAGGCCTGGCCTGTGGATGGAGCTGGTGGCTGCAGGCCTGTGGATGGAGCTGGTGGCTGTTGCTAGAGTGAGGCTCTAAGGACCCAAAGACCCATCAGTGCTGCCTCCTCTGCTGCCCTACATGATAGTCTATCTTGGATATTCAAACCTCAGAGATTGGGGAAGGGAGGTTGCTGCCAGCAGTCATTGTTAAAAATGCATTTAGGGTTGGTGAGAGGCAGAGAACCAGGGTGGTATCTGCTTTATGACTGTACAGGTTAAGGGACTGAGACTCAGAAAGCATAGAAGGGCTGTCTCTTCTGAGAAGAGAGGGTATTTGGCAGGTTGATACCAACCTCTCAATGCCTCCTGCTTAAAGCGGGGTATGTTGTAATCCCATTCACTCCTGGAAGGGATACGTGTATTACAGCCTTGAACCAGTGGCTGAGGAATGAGTGTTTGCAGTCAGTTCTGGATTGGGCCTGCCTGTGCCTTAATGACATTTGGGTTTATTTAAATGGGGATCCTGGTGTCTCTAAAGATCCTAGTTGCTGCCATAAGCCAACCAAGCCAGTAGGTCTTCATTTCCTTTCAATATTTATTATAGGGTTTAGCCTAAGAAAAAAATGAAGGCATGGCAAGAAATTTAAAAAGCCAAAATCCAGGGGGGAAAGCCCTACTTAGTTCTGGAAGTAGTAAAATGTGATACATTTTAAAAATACTTTTCCATACTCTAGTTCATATTTGGGGCTTTTAAAATTAAAATTCCAAGTGCACACACTCTCTCTCTCTCTCTCTCTCTCTCTCTCTCTCTCTCTCTCTCTCTCCCTCTCTCTCATTTTCCCATATATTTACCTATCTTTGGCTATGTCACATCACATTTCCACTAAAGCCCTTATACTGGAACATATGCAATATAAAGAGTAGAGTATGTCTCTCTTGGCACTTCAGTTCCTAACCAGAATAGTAGCAGATGCAGGGAGAAAAGAGACCAGTAAGTGGTTTTGATGAGGTAGGTGTTTTGAAAAAAACAGAGTTTTCTGTTGTAGCTACAATGAAGATAATGAAAGTTTAGATAGAGGAATGCATCACCAGAAACATGCAAGATAATGTTTCACAACTTATTTTTTTTTTAAAAGGATACGGGTTACTGATCATCCTCTTCAAATCAACCTTCTCTTTGCAGTAAGGGCAGGTCTGCTTTTTACCAACAATACACCAACCTCGGATGCAGAATTCATGAAAGCTTGGGCATCTTGTTAGGGAAGCTTCTAGATATGAAAGGCAAGGTTTGCTTTGTGAGGACATGCTGGAAATGATTCCATCTGTAGTGTGGAGTAGTGGAGGGTGAGAGAATGCCTGCTAGTTATGACCTGACTATGTGCATCACTTTTTGAGGGAGATCCTGGAGGACAGTGGACCCCCCACGACTGAGCTTGGAGTCAGAGCTGCAATAGCTTTATGGCCCTGGGGAGTTACCAAGCTTCTTGGCCTCACTTTATTCCCACAAGAATTAAACTAGATTAAGAATATGAAGATGCATTTTTATGGTAATATCTTATGTAAATGTATCATTTTATTTCTTTGCCCAGCTTACTGTGCATTTCTCATGCATTTCCCATATCATTTCACTATTCTACTCTTGTGCATTACTCACTATCTATACATGATCAGACTTGTCTTAGGCACTTAGATGAATTTCAGTTATTTGTGGTCATAAACTAACAAATCTTTGTGTTAGTTTCTTATATTTTTAATTTCTGAAGGAGCTGGTTGTATTTAATAAAAAATACATCTAGGCATTTGTAAATTTTGTTGTATACATCCCCTTATCTAGAAAGTCTGGCCCTTTGCTTCCAAAGTTGAGAGTGAACCCTGTTTCCCACAGCACATATGTTTCACTGTATCATGACTGTCTGCTCACATGTCTCTTTTGGACCATATGCTACATCTCATTCATCTCTGTCCTCAGCATCTTAGGTGGAGCCTAAGTGCCTATGAATTGCATGAATATTTAAATGAAACACTCAAAGCCAATTGCTTTTGCAAATACATTTTCCCAGGTTCCACAACATCATTGATTTGGGTAGGATAACATTATTGATTTGGGTAGGATGATGACCTATAATGAGACCCATCCTATTTATTCATTTATTTCTATGGCCATTGATCTTAAGGTGACTTTCTAGATCAAGATCTCATGATTTACTGCATGGCCTACCACACATCCATGTGAACAGCAATGATATAAAAGGCCCTGCCCTGACAAATGGAGGGTCGTGGAGGTGTAGACAATCAACCGTGTGAATAATTCCTCTATATTAGATCTGTGCGCAACTAACAGTTTCCACTATTTTATGTTCTTGGAATTGGAGTCACTTTTGCAACACGTTTGGGTGGAGATAAAGTGATGTATTATAACAAAGATTTGAAGCAAAACCCATTTGGCCCTTCATTTGAAAGGACTGGAGCCGGAATTGAAAAGTCCACCTCCTCTTTAATATCCTCTTTTATCTCTAGAATCTCCACACTTCTTTGCTCCAGAGCTAGACCCAGATCTGTGCCCCTGCCTTGTTAACTGGACTCAAGTTTGCCTGCTTCTGGCTAATATAACTCATGCCAAAATGGGCCATTAATAATACTCCCTGCAAAGCAAATTTAAAGATAACTGCATTTTGGATTACATATGCGCACATGTACAATGATTCCCAAGGGCTTTTAAAGGTGGAGAGAGAAAATATTTCCACCTGCAAAAGGCAGCAGGGGCTCTGTTCCAACATTTGAAAAGTAGGTCATATTGAAAACTAAAGCCAGACTTGGAAATTTTCTATTAAGAATGATAGTTTTTTTGGGGGAAAGGTATCCCACTGAAAAACCAACATCGAGTTCCATATGGGATATCTTCGTTTCTTACCCTAACATGTTAAGGCCTAAATGTTGGAGCAAAGGTTACTTTAAAATTTAAATGCAGCCAAAACCAGTTTGGCTTAGTGGTAGAGCGTTGGTCTGCGGACTGAAAGGTCCCAGGTTCGATTCCAGTCAAGGGCATGTACATTGGTTGCCGCCACATCCCTGGTAGTGGGTGTACAGGAGGCAGCTGGTCGATGTTTCTCTCTCATCAATGTTTCTGGCTCTCTATCTCTCTCCCTTCCTCTCTGTAAAGTATATATATATATATATATATATATATATATATATATATATATATATATATATAATTTCAAATGCATCTGATCCAGTGTTTTACTTTCAGGATTGAATAAGTGTAATCTATCCGAATTAAAGAGAATTGAGTCATAAGCGCTGCACATCTAGGATCTTACTGACTGAGGTAGATGGGCTTTGCAGGCAAGAGGCAGATGGTTTAACTGCCTCATGTTGCCAGAGCTTTGAAATGAGTGTATAGCAATATTGTAAAATTGATATTACACTATAAAGTAAAGTATTATGTACTTAGAAAAGAGTTAAAATACTGGTTGTTGGCCAGCCCAAGCACAACTTTGCTATCCAGAGGCACATGCGTAGGCAGCACAGGCTGCCTCACTCAGAGCTCTTGATCTTGGCGTCTTTCCACATATTGAGGTTCTCCTCCATAGTTACTGGAGTTCCCAGAGAATGCCTGGGCTTGACTGGTTCATAACATCCAAGATCCTTCAGCTAGTAGGTAGCTGTTCAGGGCAGAACTCAGGTAAAGGGGCCAAATGGTCCAAGAACTAGGTGCTATCATTTTGGTTCCTCCTTTTGTAATCTACAGTGTCCTGCTGCCTGTGACTTATCCTCTTTGCAGGACCAAAGCTGATATTTGCACTCATTACTACCAATGACATAAGCTGTTTCCTAGGATGTCAAAGCAAAATACACCTTGTCGTTCTTTGCCCTGTGAGATTCAGATATGGGGCTCCACCCACATAGTCCCGAGTTCCTCCCTGCACCTAAAACTTGGCGTTTTTTTTTTTTTTTTTAATCAACCCTTGACCCCTTCTTTCCCTGGTCCCTTTTGGCTACCTGTACACTTATGGCTTCACCAACGGTCCAGTCAGCATCCTATACAGATGCTAAGCCTTCCTGTCCTTGTGGCACTAAAATTCCTTTTTAAAAAGGAAATTACTGGAGCAGAAGGTTCACTTTAAATTAGCAGTTCATTATTCACAGGGATGATCAGAAAGTCTCAAGAAGAAAGAGGGGCAGAAGGATAAAGGCCTGGAAATGAGCAAAGCAGGGGAGATAGGGACCGGAGGAGGAGAGGAAGGAGGGAAGGCGAGGAGACAGCCTTATCTGACTTGCCATCTCCCATATCCAACACAGATTATTAGAAATGTGCCTCTTAGGATTGCTTCACGAAGACCAAATGGTTTCCCATGAAAAGGATACACATGATTGCAGGAAAGCTGGTAAGTGTTTTCAATGAGCCCCTCTTCATCGAGCTCCACAATGATTTTTTGTCCACAGACAGCACAGATGCTGTCTGACAAGCTCCTTGTGGGCATCCCACTGTCGCTGTAGAACTGTTGGGAGAAATGCACAGAGCATTGCTGAACAGGAGAGCACAGACCATTTTCTGACACAGGGAAGACACTGTCTTTACTGCTTTCTTGTTGGTTAAGAACTTGAAACACTTTTTCCCATAGGAACGATGCTAGTCTGTGTGAGGCTTCCAGACAAATACCCAGGGAACCCCAAATAGACCCAAAGTACATTGCTAAGTATAATCTCCACTCTAATCTTCCAACAAAGGAATCCTTTAAGAGGAACAGTTTATATTCAGGGATGTAGCTCAGAATCACACAGGAAGCTTTTAAACTTACCCAGAGATTCATAGCTCTGGAGAAAACCTAGGCATCTCTATATTTTTTAATCCTCAGAGGATTGCAGTGCGCGCGCATACACACACACACACACACACACACACACACACACACACAAGCAAACGCATTCAAGTCACTGGGGCTATTTCAATGGCCGGAGACATTGTGTTTATGTTTTTTGGTAGCTGAAGTGAAGGTGACATAGAATGGGTGTGATCAGGTGAGAAGTCTCCAGAAAGTTGGTGCTTCAAGATTTGGTTGTCTTGCTGGGTTAAATCTCTTCTTCCTGACCCACTGGACACGAGGGTCTTACAACTCTTCTCTTCCTTTCTTGCCCATCAGCAAGCACAAGAGGCCCTGGGAATTTTTAAAGGAGTATGGTTTTTGGTTTTTGTTGGAGGAACTGGGAGTGGAAATGCTTTTTCCTTTGTTGACTTTAAGCCTTATCAGAAAGGCAGATGGCCCACAGGTGAGACATGGCAGAGAAATCCCCAAAGTATCTTGTTCCAACATTTCACCACAGAAGTTGGATTCCAATCTCAAGGAAAAGGGTAAGATAGAGCCTATGGAGAAGGTGGAAAGGAAATCAAGATAATGTCCACTTAGCCCTGCTCCATAAATGGAGAGAGAGAACAGTTCAGAAGTTTATTCTTGCTGCTCACACTAGATTTCCATTTCAGATCAGCTGTATACCAAGAGACATGGCTGAGAATTCCTGAAACCACTAGGTCTGCCTCGCAGGCTTTGGTTTATGTTTAAGAGAAGTGCATGTGTCAGACACAGATAGATACTCCAAGTATCCAACTCTGAAATCCATTCAACCAGCAAGTATGTCCCTTCTGAGTTTTATTTTTAAGAGAGTTCAACTATTAGGGATTTTTTTTTTTTAATTCTAGGGAACAATATACAGTCAGAATTACATTCAACATACTTTTTATATTATTTACTTCTTCACATGCTATATAACAATAACCGATCTTTATGATGAGTATTACCCTGAGGCACTGGTTGATTCTAAAGTGTGTCAGTTGCATCAAATATGACTTTTATTTGTAGTAGGCAAAAATAATGGGTTTTTGGGATTGTTCAATTTTTAATATTTTAAATGATGGCAAATTGGAGTATGCTAGATATGGTTACTTCCAAATAATGGGTACATTTTATTTCCTAACCACTTTATATCAAGGAGAAATGTCTTTTCTTAATTAATTAGCAAAGACAATCTTTGGTGCAAGGAGAATCCAAGGAGCAATTTGGCTTAGAAAACCAAGAAAGATTTATTGATTTCTGAAAATGGATGCAAATATGGTGTCAGATGAGACCATTTCTCCATATACCCACAAGTGGTTACAAATAATAAAAGCAACACTTACCCCTATAGTAGAAGCCATGTAATCTGAGCAGATCTCTGCAAAGTCTCTTCCCATTATGCCATAGTAGAGGCCATAGAACAGTGACACAATGCCAAAATCCATGGAATCTCTTGCCTTGATTCTATTGAAAACAGCAGGACAAGAAAATAGGAATGTGGCATTTGGGAGGCAGAGGGGGTATTGCTGCTAAGAGAATATTTCCTGCCACAATATTGAATAGAAACTTGGGGGTATTTCCCCTCCCCCCCTTTGAGTGGTGTAGTTTGCCTTTTTGTTAATGAAAAAATCTTAAATTCTCTAAATTTCCCTAAAATTTTACCTCTCAGTGCTAAGTGGACAAAGTAATTCTTGAGAGAGTTTTCAAATGCTGCTTAAGATAGCAGTCCTTAGACAAACTGATTCTAACCAATGGTCCTCCAGCTGGGCTGAGCATATAAGGACCTGGGCAGCAATTACATCACCCTCTTGGGGATGAGGCCTGTGCAGCAATATTTTTGGAAGCTCTCTGGACCCCAGGTATCCCACTGGGCAGATAACATTCCAAACCTCTTTAACAGAGCAATAGTTTTCAGCCCTAATATAGGTTAGGATCACGGAAGAAATTTAAAACTAGACTGGTATGTGAGCCCTCTTCAAAAGCTCTGATTTAGGTGGCCTTGGGTGGAGTCTGCACAGAAGTGCTTTTTAGGAGCTCTGTAGATAACAACTGTAACACAGCTAGGGTTGAGAATCCTTGCTTTAGACCTCAGACTTTACATAATGCTTTCAAATACTTGACACAGAGTCAAGAATCAATCTCAAATTTTGAGACCTTTTGCTACTATGCCGTAGTTGTCAGGTATTAGACAAAAAAAAAATTTTTTTTTGCAAGTTGGAATATATTTCAAAAACAATAGGTTTGTCTATTAGAACCTCCTTTCTTTTTCAAGAGGAAGACCTTTATTTAAAAAGTAAATAGTCTCTAATTTAATTTCTAAATCTTAATCATTGCATATTTAGTTTGTTATATCTCTCAACAATCTCAATATTAGCAATAGGCCTGGGTGGGTCTGATTGAATCGGGAAGGGAGTAGAGAGGAGTTGGGTAGTCTGTCTCAGGAACTTTATGCTGGGTGTTTTTAGGCTCTGTTAATTTGAGATGGAAATGTAAAGGTAGAGAGTTTGTAGACTTAGAGGGTACAGATCTTTTGTGATGTGACTTGGGAATTCCAATATAGGTGGCAGCTTCATCCTTTCAAGATTTGCCTGGAGATATATAGATAGATAGATGCTTTATTTACCCCTTCTATCCCCCTCCCTCAACCCCAGGCCCTCATCCCATCTCCATCTCTTCTACTTTCTTTAAAATCAAATGGAAAAAATATCCTTACTCTTTGGGTGAAGATTTAAAATCAATCAATTAAAAAGAACGTGAAAAATATTCATTTGTCATAAAAGTTGTTGCATGCATTGGTATTTTCTCAATAATTTATGTGGATCATTAAGCTGTTAGAATGTTCTTTTCTAGGTGAAGTAAAGGGGTGCTTTTTTTTTTTTTTTTTTTTTTTTTTTTTTTTTTTTTTTTTTTTTTTTGCAAATAAACAAGATATAGACACAGAGAATTTAACCAGATGAATGTTCCAAGCAAGTGCTTGGAGATATTAATGTCTTCATTGGATATACGTACTTGAAAAATAAATGAATTCCACTCAGTGAAAATATGATAGCCAAATAACCCACAACACCAAATGTGTAGCTGAGTTTATAGATGAGAAGAAACCATTTGTAGACCAATCTGTGAAGTAAAAAATGGGGAGAAACACAGAGCTTGATGTATTTTATCTTTTTTAAACATTGTCATAAGTCAGTTTTGAGTTTCTAAAGTTCTACTTATTATGTAATACAAAGAACATACGTATATTATATCAGCTACCATGTACATGTGTTTCTGAGTATATGCATATGTAAATTCATTGTAATTTACCCATCTTCCTCAAGTAAAAATGGCCGATGGTTACGCTACCTGGCACCCTGCCTCTTCCTTCCCTTCCTTTTCCCATTTGGCTCCAAGGTGGTTAGCTTAGAGTGCTTTTTGGCAGGAGTACCTTGAAGGGACAAGCAAAGTTGGGAGGAGAAGTCAAGAGGAGACAGCACCTCCTCCAGGAGTTATTTTTCCTCCTGCTCCTTCTGCTGCCCCCAGTCCCAGAGTAAAAAAACCTCATCCCTCATCCCATCTCATCTCCATCAAAGAGCCCCTCCCCTAGCCCTGGGATGAACTTGCAAGAGTGCTTCAGCCTAGTTTTTTTTCCTGCTCATTGGATGCCCTAACCATGACCTCTCTTAAGGCCTTTCCTTCTTCCCACAGGGCCTCGGTGGAGAAGTGAGAGGATGGGGATGGAGGATGAAGTGGAGTTGATCTATAAGGGAACCCTGTTCATTCCCTTCAGCCCTGGCAGTAAAATCCTAAGAAAAACTATGCAATGGGCCACAGGATGCTTCATGCCTGGGAGGGTGTGGGAGGAGGCTGGCACCCAAGTGCCACCTACTCCTGCCCCGAGGCAGGAAGAGGTGGTGGAAGGAGGAGCACTAGCTGGGAGGCTACCTTTGGAGCCCAGAGACAATGGGGGTGGCTGGACTGATGCTTTAAAGGTTCTGCTTGCCTCTCAGTCCTTTCTTTCCTCATCCTCCTGAAGCCCCTCTCCTGCCTCCTACACCAAACTTCATTTAGAGTCTCACTCCAGAAACCTGACCCCACCCTCTCACCTCCAACCCCTGGAGCCCTGTCCTCAACTCTCCCAACCTCCCCTGGCTTTCTCTCTGTTGGAGCCTTTGCATCAAATGCTTTCGTTCTGTGTTATTACTGATGTAGTGGTTCTTAAAAATATATATATATTTTTATTGATTTCAGAGAGGGAGAGATAGAAACATCAATGATGAGAGAGAATCATTGATCAGCTGCCTCTTGCACGCCCCACACTAGGGATCGAACCTGCAACCCAGGCATATGCCCTGACTGGGAATTGAACCATGACCTCCTGATTCATAGGCTGATGCTCAACCACTGAGCCATGCCAGTTGGTTTTATGTAATGTTTTGATGTTATTTTAAAAGGTACCCCACTTCATTGAGTTCCAATCAGAAGGGACTTTCTGAAATATGTTTTAAGTGGAGGTTGTGGGCTAACTGGAGAAATGAATTGTCGTTTACATAATTTCTATGGTGGAATGCTTCATTTCAAGCAACTCACATACAGGGCAGTTTAGAGGTTAGGATGGGACGGGGGTGGGGCGAGGGTGGGGTGGGCGTTGGCACTCCTCCAAGTATAATCCTGCCTGAGGAAGAGGAGTTACGAGGCAGAGCGGGAAACCTGCAGGAGGTGACTTCAATCACTGTGAGGCTGTGGCATCACTAAAGGGGCCAGAGCAGCTTTGGGGCCAGAGCGTCTCCCTGGGCCGTGGTGTGAGTCCTTTTGCTGTGCCAGTGCTGAACAGTCTGAGTCTTTGCTTAGAGCAGCCAGATCAAGGTGGAAGTTTGTGTTGCTAAAGGGGGTGACGATGGGAAAAGTGGCCAACCTCGAGAGGAGCTCCCACTTCACCCCAAAACACCAGTGGGCACCAGAGTGGGGTTCCTTGAACTCCACACATCCTCTCTCTACCTGCAGGGCCCCTCTCAAGGTGGTGCCAGCACCAGAGGTGTTCTCAACAACTTCTGGAAGTGCAGGGTTTCTCTGAGCAAAGCAGTTTGTATGCAATTAAGCCACAGCCTGCTGTTGGGAGCAGGGGCTTGGCATTTCGGCCATCTTTGGGTTGTTTCTGGGCTCTGCCACTTACTACCTGGCTGCCCTCCACATTTCTTCCTATGATTGCTCATTTGTAAAGGGAGGATGATAACACCAGCTTCTAAATCGCTCTGAAGGTTGTGTGAGATAATGTATTTTTGTTTCAAAGACATGGCACATTAAATGCTTACTGTGTCATTATCATGAGAGATGTACAGTATTAGCTTTTCCAAACATCACCCCTTAAATTGTCCTCCTTTTGGGGGTACAGGTTCCCAGAGCCCAGAACTTCCTTGTTAATTTGATTACAGATAAGCCAGAACAGAAGCTGGGGTAGGGCTTCAGAGCAGTGTCCGCAGAGACTTGATGGGATCAGGCCAAGCTCTTGGTGGCCTATTTCTGAGCCTGCACATTGCTTGACAGACAACCCGACCATAGTCGAAACGAAACCCACTTCTTATCTGCGACTCTGCCCCTCAGCCGGGGCTTTGTGTGCTCTGGGGGAGGAACAGCCAGTTTTTAAATTGTGTCGGCACCGCAGACCACTCCTTTGGGGTTTGCCTTCCGCACCATGCACATTTGCTATAAGGTGATGATGAAGCAAAGATCCACACAGATGCTTCGGGCCCACAACCTCTGCTCAGTGAGTTTCTTTATCCTTACTGCTTTTCTAAAAGGGGGACCCTAATTAGCCTCTTCCATCATTTCTCTCCAAGCGGCAGCGGGGTCTTCATAACATGTGAGTGGAGTGGCGTGGCCCTCAGACTATTGCAGGGAGGAAGAAGCTGACATGGGTGCACTGTGGGCACGGCCATCTGAGCTATCGGAGCCATGGGGGTAAGAGGACAGCACTTGGGTATTTCCTGTGGTGAAGTTCTCAGCGTTGAATGAGCTGATGTGCACAGAAGGACTGCATTTCACCAGGGGAATGCATTGTGCACTGGAAAAGAGAACTGCTTTAATTGAAATACATGTAGATTATATCTAGGATATGAAAGGAAGTACATTTCAATTCATCCAAAACTTAGATCACATCACAAATCTTAAATAACTTACAACATTTTGTAAGAAGGAAGGGTCCCAACTGCCCATTTGCTGATGGGGGAGCCAGGTCCTTACAAAGACTAAGACCTCAAACTGGCCAGTATAGAAGATCTCCTAACACCAATCCCAACGTGGGATTAAATTACTGTGCTCATCACCTAAATTCATTTATTTGAATTTCAATCTTTATCATGACATGTATTGATCTAATTTCTCTTACTGCATATTTTTCCTTCTCCATACTAGAAGGAAAAGATGATCTTGTCTCTCTCACCTTTTTAAAAAACATATTTTATTGATTTTTTACAGAGAGGAAGGGAGAGGGATAGAGAGTTAGAAACATCGATGAGAGAGAAACATCGATCAGCTGCCTCCTGCACACCCCCTACTGGGGATGTGCCCGCAACCAAGGTACATGCTCTTGACCAGAATCAAACCTGGGGCCCTTCAGTCTGCAGGCCAAGGCTCTTTTTACTGAGCCAAACCGGTTAGGGCTATCTCACTTTGTTTTTTAGAAGATTAAATACAAACATCCGAATGGCTAAAGAATCATAAAAATGTTTTACAGGCCTTTATGACTTATTTTCCGACAAAGATAATTTGTCTTTATTACCATTGAATGGCATTGTCTTACTACCATTAAACACTTTACCTGTTTTCTCTTTCTCTTATTCCAGTTTTAGCTGGAATTGGGTTCAGATTTTATCTAAAGAACAAGGAGAGGGAGAGCAAGCTTGTGGGCACATTGTAAGCACTTTGGAAAGATGTGAATAATGTGATGAAATTATATAAATGTCCAGAGGTTGACAATGGTCATTAAAAATGATCAATGGAGTTTTAAAATCTCATTTGTTATGAGAGTAATAAATCACTCCTTATGATTTATCAGATACAAACCTCATGCAGTTGTTAAAAATATGGACTTCTAACTCTTGCTCTCTTATAAAATGTGCATGACAGCTTACAGTAGAATAAACAAAATGCTGAGTTAAAAATAAACATGCAAACAGTGCTCTAGAAAACTTAACAGTTTCACTTCTCTTTCTCCCTGGCTTACTTCACTGCTTAATAGCTAAAGTAATAAATTTTACAGGCATGTCTGAATCACCATTAAATAACGAATGTGAACTGACAGTGTTATGGCTAATCTCCAAACAGTTTTGTTACTGAAAACAAAACAAAAAGAAGCATAACATCCCACCCCCCTACCCCCGCTTTCCAGGAAAATGGAAGTTAAATATACTCTTTAGTGTTTATAATAAAGGGGATGGTGGAGAAGAAACACGTGGAATACCTACCGGGGTGTTCTCCCGCAGAGGGGCTTTCGCGTAGCTTTGAAGAGGATGTAACTGGTGATAACTGAGAACATTCCCCACATAGACAGAAACCGCCACCAGTAAAGTTTTATTGTGAAATACAAAGGGACAACCCACATCTGCAACAGGGTCACCAGCTGTTAGAGAGATGAACAGAAAGTCTCTTTCAATGACTGAGGGCCCAGAAGGGCATGCCCATAGTCAAACGATTCAGAATCCTGTCTGTAACACTCAACTGGTTAACCATTCAGCTGCAACCTCCTCTATAACACACGCATGGAGCTGACTGGCACAATTATCTGAAAACTCGAATGGGAAATAATTCAAAATATCCAGCTTCCTACACTTTCTTTCTTTGGGATATCTCAGATGAAAGCAAAGACAGGCTTGGACAGTGATGTGATTGTGGATAAAGGAGCTTCCTTTCAGTTGTAAAATGGGAAGTAACAATGCCTGCCCCACCTGCCTATGCTGACTGAGGTGGGGATCAAAGGAAATCCCTGAAGGGAAAGCGCCCAGCAAACAGTACTGCACGAGCTCAGGGACTGTGGTTACTGCGTGGGCACATGTGCAAATGCACCTGATCTCAAGGCAGTGGTGTCCCAGCAGCTTCTGGAGGCTTCTGCCTGCTGTCCCAGTGCATGCTGCGGAGTTAACTGTGCTGTTCCCTCAACCCTGACTATTAGATTTGCAACCCACCATTTGCTTCTTGTCTTTCCTCTGGTTTCTATTGCCTTTTCCAGGAAGCCCTAAGACATGGATCAGACTATCTCCTGTCCTTCTTTGTGGTCTATACCACTGACCTGAGTCCAAGTAGCCATCAGATGGTTCTGTAAGTTGGCTGGCCTCAAGCTCGCATGGCAGGGAGCAGGACTACACTGATGGGCTGGAGGTCAATGACTTGATATGGTTACCGTAATGACTGACACTCCTACTTGTTAGAATGTTTGGGCCTAATACTGAAGCATCCATCTTATATAAAAACTGCTGCTTGAAATTTTAACCCTGCTATTTTGGCTTCTGTAAATGCTTGCTTGCTTAAATAATAAGGAAAATAAGACTACTCTCATTTCAGAGAGGCTATTAAACCTTCCCCAGACAGAGTTATCAGTGCTGGCACCAGGCCAAGCCTTTGGTCAAGGTCTCAAAGCCCCAGCACAGAGGGGCTCTTTAAGAACTTGCAAAGGGGACCGGAAAACCCCATATTTGGGAGACAACGAAGGTAAAAAGGTATAAATACAGGAAATTTCCTATGTGACTTTGCCCAGAATTTGAGAGACATTTCCTCTGGGCTTGCATGTAATAAATGTAACTCCATCTCTCTAAGCGTTGCTTGGTTCTTTTCCGGTTTTCTGTAACAATACAAGCTATTCACCTCTCTTATGAAAAGCAGATAGGTTTAAACAATAGCAATAATCTTTGGTCTTTTATGTTTTATCATCTGTAGACTAACCACCTATTATTTACTCAGCACCAGTATAAGAAGAGAATGGCAACAAGGTTTAATTTCCGGAGTGGACTTTAATTGGTGGTGGCACTTGGCAATGCTCTGTTGAGTAGGATTCTAAGCGTGGGTCCTGATTTTGTGTTAAAGAGAATCATGATTGATTAATCATGCCTGCCAGGATGTAGAAAGAGTTGTTATAGCATGCATGTACATATGTCATCTGGGTATAAACAAAGGCTGATGTAATTTATTTGTTGTCTTTACTCTCTTCATCTTTGAAATTAAAGGAGGTGGCCTTACACAATGAAAACTTTCTAATAGAAATTGTCTCTTAATACATTTAAAGTCTTATATTTCAAAACTAAATATATATATATATATAATATAATATATATGAAATAACAAATAAACCCTTTATAAGTTTGAAAAAGATAAAAGGAGGTGGCTTTTAAAAAAGAGTGTACGAATGTATTTTTGGATCTTTTAATAAGATCTTGGTTATAATAGTCCAAAAGTCAATAACCAAATTTGATAGAACCTCAAGATGTAAGTGAAAAAGGCGATGCCATTCTCTTTTCTATGTCAAATAAGAAGATATTTCCCAGGCTTTTCAATCCCTTTTAATTGCTTCATCCCTAAAACAACCTGGATTCATAATCTTAGCTTTGCTCTAAATCTTTCAGAGAACAGTACAGTTCTCAATATATATATGCATTCGAATGAAAATACACATGGAGCAAATGTGAGATAACTAACTAAAGAGTTCAGAAAAACTATCCTATAACCTGCTTTTTGTTTTAGAATTCAAGGCAGTACTTCCAAGGAAGGATACATATTGTTTACTCTTGCCTGAATTAGTCAGATAATTGCTTTAATTTTCCATCCTACTTATGAAATATATATCCTATCTAATAAAAGAGTAATATGCAAGTTAACTGTATCTCTGCTACACCCACAAGCCACGCCCACCAGCCAATCAGGAGTGATTATGCAAACTAACCCAACCAAGATGGCTATGGCCATTGAGCAAGCAGGAGATTTGGATTTCCCCAGCAATGGAGGAAGCCATGCTTCCTGCACATCCTGGCTGGCCCTGGACTCCACTCAAGGCTTCAAAGTTTCAATTATAGAAGATAAATAATAAATCCCAGATACCAGGGTCTCTGCTTGGGTCTCTGGGGGGCATGGCCAGTCTGCAAACCACCACAGGCTCCTCACCCAGGCCACCCCACACCCAAAGGGAACCCCTACCCTGATCTAGACACGCTTCAGGGAAAACCAGCTGGCCCCCACCCGTGTACCAGGCCTCTATCCTATCTAATAAAAGAGTAACTCCAACACACAAGATGGCTGCCCCCATGTGGTCAAAGATGACTGCCCTCATGTGGACATAAGATGGCCACCACAAGATGGCCAGCAAGGGAGGGTAGTTGGGATGGACCAGGTCTGTAAGGAAGGGCAGTTAGGAGGAAACAGGCTGTCAGGGGAGCAATTAAACATCAATCAGGCTGTCAGGGGAGTGGTTAGGGGGTGATCAGGCTGGCAGGCAGAAGCAGTTAGGGGCAATCAGGAAGGAAGGCAGGCGAGCAGTTGGGAAACAGCAGTCCCAGATTGGATAGGGTGCAGGGAGGGCTGAAGGACATCCCCTCTCCCCCATGCACGAATTTCATGAACTGGGCCTCTAATATGTATATATACTCAAATAGGAAAAACAGGCTTCCTTAAGGAAGTAGAATAGTTTTTGTGAGGACCAGAAACCATATGTGAAGAAACCAAGACTCAAGATTCACTCCTTTTAACATGCAGCATTAGAAAATTTGAGTTTTTATTGTTTTGTTTTTTTAAATAACTCATTTAAAAAATGTATATATTTTTATTGATTTCAGAGAAGAGGAAGAGGGAGAGATAGAAATATCAATGATGATTAGAAACCGTTGATTGTTTGCCTCCTGCATGCCCCACACAGGGGACTGAGCCTGAAATCCAAGAATGTGTCCTGACTGGAAATCGAACTGTGACTTTCTAGCTCATAGGTCAATATTCAATCACTAAGCCATGTCAATCAGACTGACCCTCTACTGCTGAGAAGAAGTGTGGAGCTCATTTCGTTTTGCTTATTGTGGAGATAGTCATCTATGTAGGTTTTGAATTTTTTAATTCATTACTTCTGATATCAAAAAAGGAAATGGATATGAACTCCATCTTTCAAAACCTGATTACCTGTCACTTACATTTTTCATCTCTCTGTTTTAAAAATTTGATTCATCTTTTTACTTCCCCCATAAATACGCTGAAGTTCTTTTTTTTGTTTGTTTAATAAAAATTTGAATTGGTTCATTTTAATTCAGTGAAACTACCATGTTCCCATATTTTATACTTTAGGTTAGAAGCCAAATTTTACAAGACTAATCAATTCCTCAAATCGGTGGAGTTATAATCCATGATAGTTTGAAGTGATCATTGGACTGTATTTTTATAAAACTAGTTATCTCCTTGTGGATTTATAAATAAAACCCATTCCTGGAAAAATCCCAAATTTCTCTTACTTGCTGCCTGGATTTAATTAATAGAAAATAACAATGTTCAAATATATTGATCTGCAACTTAAAAAAAAAAGCATTGGAGATTAGAAATAAAAGGAAAGCAACCAATATATATCATTATAATATATTCTGCATACAAATAATCATTTATTAACTATCTTTAAAGTCTAAACCCTGCACCACATTTTCTCAACATATAAGAACAAAGGTCAGAAATTTGTGTTACGAATTAAATGATTGTACAGAGAAGTCCTTTTGAAATGAGGGCCACATTTCATAGCAATTACATTTTTAAAAAAAATCAATTTCCAGAGCAGTTAAAACCTCTTATTTTTTTAATAGTAACTGCCTCATATGAAATGTAGGAATGTTGTGCTTCATAAATAAACACAAGAAATATGTGAACTTGAGGTGCATGCATGCAACAGACGAGCCTGGCAGCTGGGACACATTAATGATGCCAGAGGGGTCACCATCTGGGCATGTGCATATAAAACACATCTGCATGACTGGCCCTGCATCTGGATCACATCATCCACCTTCTCCCCACCCACACATCATGGCAGGAGGATTGTCTTGACGGATCAGATGCTGCCCAGTGGTACCATGCTTTTCCTTTTACCATGCATTATGGATGAATCTGGAAAGAATTGCAAGTCAAGACAAAACAAAGATATCTTTTGTCTAGTTGTACAGGATGGTGAAAGGGTCACACGATAAGGAAGGGAGAGAGGGAGGGTGGAAGGAAGGGAGGAAGGAAGGGAAAGAGGGAGGAAGGAAGGAAAGAAGGGAAGTTATGTATGTATGTGATACTTATTTCCTTTGCACTGCAAATCCTAAATTACTGTTTGCAGCCACGTGTACACGTGTCTGTGTGTACTTGTATGGGTGGGATGAAGGGACAGCAGAGGGATGCTAGAGATAAGCAGAAAATCATCATGTACATAATTGACTCCAAGAATATTGTGCTATCAGAATAAAGGCAATGGAGGGAAGTGTGGGCATAAAATGAGTAAGTAAAATAATGGAATCATGGCATATGAAGGATTCTTAAAAATCCAATAGGTCTAGATTTCTATCTTCAATTCAGACTGTTGATTTTGCTATTTAAACTGTTAAAGGAGCTTCTGCAATATTACATAAGTATGTGTATATTTGTGCCTTGCCTCCTTTTAAAAAACTTTGGACAGACCTAATAGTTTATTGGTATAGTAGTATATTCTAGTGTTTCATAGCTATTAATAGGCAGGGAGTTTGTTTTAAATAGAGCAATGTTTCTCTCTGTGGCTTAAGGATTTGCCAGTGTATAGAGGCAAGTTAACAGTGTGTCTGAAACACCAATTTTATGTAAGTATTCAACAGGCTCTCTCCATTGGGTTGAAGGGAAAGAAAAGGGTGCTTTTTTGGCAACCTCTCCTGTTATTTTCTGCAGATATGAAAAGTAGGAGACATAAAAGAAGGTGGAGAGGATAGGGTTGAATGAAATTTTATTTTTAATTGAACACTGTTAAAAGCATTTGGAAATAATTTAATTCTGAGGCTTTGCCTATATCTAAACCATATCAGTACTATCAGCTGGAAAAAGAAAAATTCAAATATCCAGATGCTTGGACTATGTTATGCTAAAAATATGACTATTTGGAAACATCCAGGTATTTAGTTGTATCCCAAACCAAATAGCAACATTCCGTTTTCTATCTACTTTCTCTCGACACTTTTTGGCATCGCTTAAGAGCAGTTAGTATTATGTTTTAAAGCTTCGCTTTCTAAATAACATGCTTCTTTTGCTTTATCATAAGTTGCTCTGATATTCACAGCTTCTACAGACCACTGAGCAGAATCTGAAGAGACAAATTAAATGATCTCTTCAGAAGATACACCTATTTGTTAAAAACTGTGTCTGAAAATGTTCGGAGCTTTTCAGATTAGTCCCTCATCTCTGACATACATGATCCAAATTATGCATGAAATAATGTGAAAATAATACTTTATGTGTCATTTAAAATGCCCTCAGGGCATAAATAAATGTGTAAATAATGATTAACATACAAAACTGTTCACATATATTGTGTGCACTTCCTACTTTTTAAAATGTTTCCTCCTCTTGCTTATCCATAAACTCCCACTCCCACCATCTGCCATAGTTTACATAATTTTCCCATCCCAGTATACATACATATATAGCAGGATCAGAATTGTTAACCTGTACCCTTCTGGGAAACTGTTTTATCCACTGGAGCACAGTGCTCGTAAGCAGCTCCTGGTGCCTTAATCTTACCAGGCTCGTCTCACTTCCAAAGGCACTTGGAGCGGCACCTTGAGCCCCAATACCCTTGGGTGAGGTTGTTTCCTACATTTTCAATGAAGTTACATTCTCTTGTCACCATCTGCATTTCTTCCTGGGATCCCCAATCTCCTAAATGATCTTTAACAATTTGCCTACCCTAAGGTCTGCTTCTTGTGCTGTATACAGTAGTTGGTTGGGATTTGACAAATGCATAAGGTCTTGTATCCAAAATTACAGTATTATACAGATCCATTTTACTGCCCTAAAATTCCTGTTTCACTTGTTTGTCCTTCCTCTTTACCTCCATGAACTATTGGCAACCACTGTCCAAAAACAAAAACCATCATTTTACTCTCTCTATGGCTTTGCATTTTTCAGAATCTATAATAATAAAAGGGTAATATGCTAATTAGAATGAACATCTTCCAAATGGCATTCCAGACGTCCTTCCTGACAAAGCCAGGGCAGGAAAGAAGCAGCCCGGGTCCCAGGTGCCTGCAGGTGGCTGGAGGAGGGAAGTCCAGATCCCAGGTGCCGGAGGGAAGCTGGTGCTGGCAGCCAGGGGAAGGAAGGCCTACTCTTGCATGAATTTTTGTGCATTGGGCCTCTAGTGATATATAATTAGATTCATATAGTATGTGGCCTTTGTATTGGCTGGTTTCACCAAGGTTCCTCCATGTCTTTCCATGGCTTGATAAGTGCATACCTTTTTATTATATACTAATATTTTATTGTATGGAGATATCATAGTTTGCTTATTTATTCATTCTTTAAAGGTAGGTGCTTAGACTACTGATTTTAGACCCTAATTTTCTCTTCTAACGAATACATTCAATGCTAGAAATTTCCCTCTAAGCACTGCTTTTGCTACCTTTCACAAACTTTGATATGTTGTGTTTTCATTTGGTTTTTTAATAATTTTTTAAATTCTCTTGAGTCCTCTTCTTTGACTCGTGTTATTTAGTGTTATATTATTTAAAGTCCAAGTATTTGGGGATTTTTCTAGATTTGTGTTACTGATTTCTTGTTTAATTTTTGTGGTCTGAGAGTATAAAGTTGACTCTTGAACAGTTTGGGGCAGGGGTTAGGGGGACCATTGCCCAGCACCTGCCGCCCCATTAAAATGCTGCATATAACTTAAATCAGCCCTCTGAAATAAGTCCATTACCACCACAGATCAAAGATTCTCTTTTCAGTCCACAGTCATTTGAAGCCATGGATGTAAAACCTGGGGTGTGGAGGACTGACTGAATACTGATTTTTAAGAATCTGCATATAAGTGGATCTGTGCAGTTCAAACTTGTTTGCTCATGGGTCAACTGTACTTTGTATGATTTCTATTCTTTCAAGTTTGTTTTGGTGTGTTTTATGGCATAGAACGCAGTCTGTCTTGGTAAATGCGTCATGAGTTTGAGAAGAATGTGAGCTCTGTTGTTGCTGGATGACTCATTCTATAAGAGTTAGAGTGAGTTGATCAGTGGTACTGTTCAGGTCAACGATATCCTTACAATGTTCCTCCTGCTTGATCTATTGGCTACTGAAAGAGGGTGTTGCAATCTCCAAAAGTAATTGTGGTTTTGTCAATTTCTGCTTGCAGTTCTACTAGTTATGTCTCATATATGTTGATGCTCTGTTGTTAGGCACATATTCAACAGGGGCAGGCTAGAAGGGGGAAAAGGGAACATCTATAATACTTTCAGCAATAAAGATAAATTAAAAAAAAAGAACTGTGTCTTCTTGAATAATTGACCCTTATATCATTATGTAGTTGTGCCTCGTTCTCCCTAATAGTTATCCTTCTTCTGAAGTCTGCTTTACTTGAAATTAGTATAGCTGAATCCAGCTTTTTTTTTTTTTAATTAGTGCTATCATGACGTATCTTTCTCCAAACATTTGCTTTTAACATATCAGTGTTGTTGTTGTTGTTTTTTTAAATATATTTTATTGATTTTTTTACAGAGAGGAAGGGAGAGAGGTAGAGAGTTAGAAACATCGATGAGAGAGAATCATCGATCAGCTGCCTCCTGCACACTCCCTACTGGGGATGTGCCTGCAGCCAAGGTACATGCCTTTGACCGGAATCGAACCTGGGACCCTTCAGTCTGCAGGCCAACGCTCTATCCACTGAGCCAAACCGGTTTCGGCCATATCAGTGTTTTTATAGTATAAGTAAGTTTCTCCAGAAATTTTGTTAGGCATTTCTATTTTACAGATCAGGAAACTATGTTCAAGATATATTTAAAAACCTTTTCTTTGATATGAAAGTATAACTAATGAAGTTTAATTCCAGTCTCTTTTACTAAAAAAAAAAAAAACAACAAAAAAAACAACACCACCTTTGTATTATAGAGATGTTTACTTTAATTAACAAGACAATAGTGACATGGCAGCAAATTGATACATGTTCTCTTAAATAAAAACCACTATCCTGTCAAAAGAACAAGAACCACCCAAGCCTTAGCTGGTTTTGCTCAGTGGCTAGAGCGTTGGCCTGTGGACCCAAAGGTCCCATGTTCGATTCTGATCAAGGGCACCTACCTTGGTTGCAGGCTCCTCCCCAGCCTGGGTCCTGGGCGGGGCTCGTGTAGGAGACAACCTATCGTGTTTCTCTCGAATCGATGTTTCTCAATGCAATTCTCTCTCTTTTCTATTCTACCTAGAAAAACAAACAAACCACCCAACATTGCTCTTTCTATGTAAAATGTACAAAATTGCCTAAGTTTAAGTATTATACAGAACTCTTAAGAATCCTCTTAGACCCTGTACTATACAGAAAATAATCTTTATGATGGGTAAGAGGAAAATGAAATACTGGTCTAAGCCAGCACTTCATATGTCACAAGCGAGTCTTCTCATAAATAACCAATCCAAGACCCAGAATCACGTAGAGTGATCATTGAGGACCTTCTCTCTTTGCAATGTTTCCTTAGTTAGGCCACACTCAAGTTCAAACCATTGATCATCAAAATGTGGTCCCAGGACCATCTGGGAACTTGCTAGACTTGCAAATTATTGGGTACCTGTTGAATCAGAAACTCAGGATGGGACCTGAGAATCAGATCTAACAAGCCCTCTAGGTGATAGTTACACCCTAAGATTTGCGTACCACTGCTCTAAACATTGTAAGGTCTCAGGCCCAACAGCCCCGGGGATGCCCCTGGGGCTGTGAGGTGGCAAAGGTCAAGTGGACATGCTTGAGTGGGATTGGTCTTTAAAAATGGGATTGTGCCCTATGTGGCTGTCATTGCAGTGTTTGCATAAACAGGCTTACATGAATATGCAAGCCATTGGTGCCGAGTTTATTGCTAACGAAACAAAGTTAGACAGCCTCACGTTTTGTTTCTGGAATTCCTAATTCTCCTTTCCTGGGCCAAGGGCAGAAGTTGTTCATGCACAAAAGGGAAATTGGTTTCCTTAAACCAGGGCTTCTCAACCTTGGCACTATGGACATTTCTTTTGTGGTAAGTAGCTGTGTCCTGTGCATATTGAGCAGCATCCTTGGCCTCTACCTTCTAGACGCCAGTAGCATCCCCCAATCCCTTCCACGGGGGATAAAAAATGTTTCCAGATGTTGCCAAATGTCTCCTGGGGCCAAAATTGTACCCAGTTGAGAATCACTGACTTAAACCATTTTCCTCAAAGTGGTAATAAATAAATAAATAAACAAATAAATAAATAAACAAATAAATGAATAAATAAAGGAGGGATTGGCCGCCAAGGAGCAGGCTTCCAGCAGCCACCAGGGTGACTTACGTTGTAGGACCGGCCATGCCTCTGTCTCCACTGCACCAGCACTATCTGGGCGATGATCAGGGTGGAGAAGAAGATCAAGATCATCTCCATGTGCATGGAATCGTGGCCCCGGTGTATCTTGAGCATCTTCTCCTGCTGCAGGCTGGAACCAGCAAATGAGGTCATCCGCAAAAGTCCTCAACCTTTGCACATTTAGCAAAAAAAAAATAATAGGCTGGGCCCATGGGAAGCAGTTAGGGATTTCAAATGTAAGGGGTTTTAAGCTTTGACTACAAAGTTTTCCTAAATTTGTCTTGGTTTCTCTCTTTCCCCCAGGCTTGGGGAAGAGGCAGTTGAGAGGAGGAGCCCAACTCATCAGCAAAGTCAATTCCTCTCAGCCCTTAGTTTTTCCATGTGTATGGACTTCAGCCTTGTTCTTTCAAGTTAAGTTATGTCCCCCAACCCCCCCACAAAACAAACAAACAAACAAAAAAAAACACCCACTAATGGGTCCTGGAATGGCTTGGGTTCCAGTCCTTGATTTATCCAGTTTATCACCATAGATAGTCATTTATGGTTTCTGAGCCTCAGTTTACTCATTTCCAAATTTAAAATAATGATCTGTCTGTACCTCAGGATTTTCTAAAATTGCAAAGAACATATGTTATTTTATTTGTCAACTAGAGGCCCAATGCATGAAATTTGTGCATGGGGGCGGGGGTTCCCTCAGCCCAGCCTGCACCCTCTCCAATCTGGGACCCCTCGGGGGATGTCCAGCTGCTGGCAGTCAGACATCCCTCTCACAATCAGGACCACTGGATCCTAACTGCTCACCTGCCTGTCTGCCTGATCACCCTTAACTGTCCCCCAATGGCCTGGTCACCCCATGCAGCCTGCTGTTAGGTCGTTTGGTTGCCTCTCACTACCCCCCCCCCCCGCCTTCCCCCACTGGCCTGGTCGCTTCACACAGCTCATTGCTCAGTTGTTTGGTTGGCCCTCACTACCCCCCTGCCAGTCTGGTCACCCCACACAGCCTGTTCAGTCGTCCGTTTGGTTGTTTCAGTTGTGATAGTTGCTTAGGCTTTTATATATATATATATATATATATATATATTAGATTAAATCATGATGGCTGAATATACAGGCTTTCAGTTGGACTCTTGGTTTTGCACAATGGTAGAGAAAACCACTAAGGTGATGTCATCTGGCTTAACTATAGCAGAAGTGGCTTTGAAGAAAGCCTAGAGCAGTGGTTCTTGACCTTGGCTGTAAGTTAAAAATCACAGTGCCTGAGCTATACCCCAGATCAATTAAGTGAATTAAATGATCATTCAATGACCATACCAATTAAAAACACCATTGCTGGGTATAATGGGCTGAACTGTGTCTCCCCTCCTCTAACCCCAAATTCCTATGTAGAAGTTCTTTTCCTCAATGCCTCAGAATGGGACTGTATTTGGAGACAGGGATTTTAAAGAGATAATTGAGTAAGGTAAAATGAGGTCATACGGTGGGCCCTAACCCAATTGGGCTGGTGTCCTTACAAGAACAGGAGATTAGGACACAAACTCACCCAGAGGAGGCAGCCATCCACAAGAGAGGCCTCAGAAAAAAAAACAAGAATCGCTAACACCTTGATCTTGGACTTCTAGCCTCTAGAACTATGAGAAAATAAATTTCTGTTGTTTAAGCCTCTCAGGCTGTGGCCTTTTGTTATAATAACCCTGGAAAACTGATCACAGATTTCTAGAAGGTGATCTAGGCATCAGTAATTTTAAAAGTTCCCTACCAATGTAATTTTAAGATACAGCCAAGATTGAGAACCACTGGCCTGAGGAAGAAAGAGCAGTCCAGGGTTAATTTTAGGGAAGAAAGGGGAAATTATGAACATTGCCAACCAACAACTTTATAAATATTGTTTAGCATTAATTTCATCTCCACGGAAGCACCATCAGTCACAAAATCTCTTAAAGTTTCCACTATGGCTGGTTACGGTGTGCATTTAGTTAAGGTACCACTCAGAAAACACTGCAGAGTGATCTTCTGTGTCACAAGATAATGGCCTTTTCAAGGTACTTGTTAGATATGTGGGTTTGGGTCTTCCCTTTACTAGTGTTTTTACAGAGCTATTACATAGAGCAGAGGAGTGCCTCAGAAAAGGACCCCATTCAAATCCCAGGGGTGCCCCCTGCTGGAGAATGTGCAGAAATTAATCCACAGAGCCTAGTAAATAAATATTCTTACTTGTGTTCAGCTTATTTGAGATAAATCTTAAGGTATTAATGCTGGAAGGTACCAAAGATGTACTGAAACACTTTATTTTTCAAACTAAGATACTTAAGTCCATTTCAGGTAAACATCCTGAGTAAGATCACATGGCTATTAGTATCTGTGTTGAAGTTGAGCTTAGGAGACAAGAATGGTTTTTAGAAGCTCATTAAAAAATATGCTCATTCTTCTGAAGAAATGGGAATTGAAAAAAAAAATAAAAAGGTACAAGAATTTAGTAATAGTTCTTACAGCCCCAAGTTCAAAATAGCTATTTAATATTCTACGTAATAAATAGATTTTCAATTTAGGCCACGTGAATAGAAGAGTAAATCTCTCATCAAGCTAAAATAGGACTTACATAGATATCAAACAAAACATGCTTTATGACATTAGTCTAATATATATTATAATCTATAAATATATATATTTCATGTCAAATAGCTAACCAATGCGGAAACACTTCAGGAAGTATAAAGTGATGGTATACAAATGTAGTATTTCCTATTTTGATTAGGAATACATTCCTGATTGATTACCATAAAGCAAAAAAGGAGGGACTTTTCACTTATTTAATTTCATGTGGTGACAAGTAACAGAACACAGGGGAAGCAGCATATGAAGAAAACCAGATGTATCTTGTGCCAAAATAAATACTGAGTTGGCACTGCCTGATTTTGAAGGACATACAAATCCAGCTTGTGGGGTGGCACAGAGCACACTGTGGTTTTGGTCTATACTACACTTGGGCACGCACGGTTATGCTACCTCACCTTCTCTATCCTAGAAATTTACAAATAAAATGATGGCTTCATTTAATTTCTCAGTTAAGATAGAAATCTACTTTTTTAGTGTAAAAATAAAAAATATACTAATCACTTACTTCCACTTGTCATCTGCAGAAAGATTTGTGTGAGAGATCTGAAAAAAAAAATGAACCAGAATAATTTAGAATGAAAGCACCAATAAAATGTTTGCTTATAAACTAACGCACACACCAAAACAGTAATCAGGTCACTAGCCTATATATAAAAGGCTAATATATGCAAATTATCCCCTTGGGAATTCAATAGCTGGCTATGAAGAGGGGAGTAGTGAGGGTGGCTGAGGGAGTGAGAGAAGAAGGAGATGGGGAGGCAGGAACCGGGAGGTGGGCAAGGTGGCGGTATGCAGGTGGGGAGGGATGGAGGATGCAGGAAGGTGGGGAACCATGCAGTGGCAGCGTGTGGGTGGAGGAGGTGGGGAACCTGATGGCCCTGATTGCCAGCCAGGCCTAGAGACCTTACCAGGCACGAATTTCATGGCCTGGGCCTCTAATAAATACTTGAGACCAGAGGAGGTGCCATTCAATCAAGGTGGTAGAGTGGCCTCCTGAAAAGCAGTATCACCCTGGCTTCTGGGATATGAAGTATAAATCCAAGACACCCTTCAAACACACACACACACACACACACACACACACACACACACACAAAACAAAAACAAAACCACTTGTTTTGTTGGTGTCTCAATTAGCACCAGTGAGTCAATATCTCTAAGTTCAAGGTTTTAGAAACAGATCTGACTAGAGGCTCTACTGGTTTGGAGCATTTTTGTGTCTTCCCGCTAATTCAATTTCATTGAAGGCCCGGCCCCAGGAAAGGGGGTGATGTAGGAGCTGGAGAGCACAGAGACCATCCTCAGGAAGTGTTTGTGGATGACCTGCAGTGCACCCACGTGCCTTCCCTTGATCACTGCTAATGCACTATATTGGGCCATTTGAAAGCTAAATGCCAATCATTATGCAGTCACCCAAGAGTCTGGTTTAAATGTAGATTTTTAATTCAGGAGTTCTGGAGTGGGGACCGAGACTCTGCCTCCCTCCCTCCCTCCCTCCCTCGCTCCCTCCCTCCCTCCCTCCCTCCCTCCCTCCCTCCTTTCCTTCCTTCCTTCCTTCCTTCCTTCCTTCCTTCCTTCCTTCCTTCCTTCCTTCCTTCCTTCCTTCCTTCCTTCCTCTCTCTCCTCCTTCTCCTTCTCCTCCTCCTCCTCCTCCTCCTCCTCCTCCTCCTCCTTCTCCTTATTCTGTGAAGGAGAGGGCTAAGGGATAGCTTGGCCAAACGGCCTGACCAGGGAGCCTCAACGTCTGCCTCATTAGCCTTTTACTGTAACAGCAGTCTGAAGTAAAGTTTAAGATACAATTAGTAGGGGAAGTAATCTTAGGAGGACACATGTGTTTGTAGTGCCCTTTGCATTTTTTTCTTTTTAAATATTAATTATTCATGGATTGATTTTTAGAGAGAGAAAGAAGAAGGGAGCGAGAAGGAGGGAGGGAGAAAGAGAGAGAAATATTGATTTGTTGTTCTACTTATTTATGCACTCATTGGTAGATTCTTGTATGTGGCCTGACCAGGGATCGAACCTGAAACTTTGGGGTGTTGGGATGATGCTCTAACCAACTGAGCTATCCAGTCAGAGCAACTTCTAATTGTCTTCCATGCCACACTTTGACTATTGGTTGGTGGATCACCAGAGGTTTGCTCTTGGGAAAAGCCCCCTAGGGTAAGGTGACCAGATCATCCCGGTGTTGCGGGACAGTCCTGATTTCTACCAATTTTTCCCGCGTCCCGCGGCATTAAAAAAAAAAAAAAAAGTCCCAATTTTTTGAAAGAATCTTTCCAATGTTTCCAATCTTTCAAAAAATCGGGACTTTTTTTTTTTTAAACGCCGCAGGATGCGGGGAAAAATTGTTAGAAATCAGGACTGTTCTGCCAACACCTGTACGATCTGGCCACCTTACCCTAGGGCCAAGTTAACAGAGGGGCCATGCTTCCTGAGGGCAGTGATATGGCAAACAGCAGTAAAGGTGACTACCAGTCTCCTGCCCCTCCTGGTGAGCAATTTTCCATCTATAACTTCCTCTGGATGGTCTGGGTTTGAAACCAGCAAGGAAGCCCAATCCCAAATGCATAGCGTGCTCCACAGGCCAATCACAACCTGGCTTTCCCTTATCTTTTGCTACAAACCTTTGTGAATGCCAGATTTCCACAGAGACTTAGTGTATATCACCCGCCTCGCCTTTCCCCACGATCACTCCCCATGTTTTCATCAGCTCCAAGCAATTTAGTCTGCAGTTCCCGCCATCTAGGTCCCTCATCACCCACGTGGCCCGGTCTCATCCATCCTCCAAGGCCCCCCATCAGCGTTGCCCATCCCTCACCCCCTCTCCCCCTACTCCCCTGCCAGGAACAATCCCTTGCTTCTTAGGAATCCCACAAAGCCTCCCTTGAACCTGTTTTGGGGACAATAATCTCTTCCTACCGCGTTTTAACCAGCCCTTACGCTCTAGTTTGAGAACCAAGTCAAGCGTAATGTACACCCTCCATCCCTAAGCTGTCCTCCTTAAGGGGAGGAGGGAGGGAGGGAGAGGAAGAGAAATGGAGAGGAGTTGGGCTTCCTGGGGTGGGGTGGGTTGGGGTGGGGATCAGGCGAAAGCACTAGCGTCTTCCCTGGGGTCCCGCCCCTCCATCCGAGGTCCATTGCCCCCTCCCCCTCTCCCCGCGAGGAGTCGGGGAGCTCGGGGACACGTCCGCGCGGCCTCCCAGCCCCGGGGTGAGCCTGGGGGCCCCTGATGCGCCGTCCCTGCGGCCTGCGCCCCGAGTTCCGTACCTGATCGTGCTGGGGGGGAGCCTCCAGCTCCGCGCCGGCCTGGCGCTCCGCTCCCGCGGCCATGCTCCGCCGCCACCCCGGCTCCGAGGGCTCTGAGGCTCCGCGAGTCCACAGGGGACGCCTTCGGACCGGGCCCGGTCGGGAGCCCAGCCTGCGGCTGCTGAGCCGCGGCCCCGCCCCGGGCTGTGCGGCCCCGGCCCCCAGGGGATAGCCTCGGCTCCGCTCAGGCCTCCTGCAGAGGAGGGAGCTGGAGATCACCGCCGCCAGCACGACTGGGAGACCCTGTGGGCCCAGGGCCCCTCCGGGACGAGGCGGTTGGCAGCCATCGTCGCTAATAAACCGTCATGTCGCCTCCCTACCTGGCTTCTGGTCTGTCTTCATGTGGCAAAGGCCACCCTTTCCAGCCCAGAATGTCCTCAAATGCTTCTATATTCTCTTGTCACAGGAATACCTTGCATATGTTAAATTATTTATTGCAAAGTGTTCCCCTGTAGACTTCCTACCCTCTGGCTGATTCATTAATTTTCTCCATTATATATATATATATATATATATATATATATATATATATATATATATATATATTTTTTTTTTTTTTTTTTTTTTTTTCCCCCCCAGAGAGGAAGGGAGAAGGGTAGAGAATTAGAAACAGTGATGAGAGAGAAACATCCATCAGCTGCCTCCTGATCGCAACCAAGGCACATGCCATTGGAGAGAATAGAGCCAGAGATCCTTCAGTCTGAAGGCTGATACTCTATCCACTGCCAAGGCACATGCCATTGAAGAGAATAGAGCCCGAGATCCTTCAGTCTGAAGGCTGATGCTCTATCCACTGAACCAAACTGGTCAGGGTTTTCCCCATTTCTTTACTACCCTTCTGAGGACACTGAACTGCCTTGGGCTGATGGTGCCATCTAATGGTTAGATCTTGCAGAAATCCTTTATTGTTTTGCAAATGATCTGCTTCAAGAAACTCTCTTTTTCAATTTCCTCTTTTCTCATGTCTTTTAAATAATTACAAATAAAATGTGCATTTGAGCCTGAGTGATACAGCTAAAACTGGTGATTCAGAATGTCTTCAACCAGGTACAGTGCTGGTCACCTGGAGTAGGGTGGTAAATGGAGAGAATCTAGACAACTGGTGGGGACTTTCCTCTGTCAAAGGGATGGCAGTAGCAGATTCCGTCTAAATGTGTGTGTGTGTGTGTGTGTGTGTGTGTGTGTGTGTGTGTGAGAAATTCTAACCATCCAGGCAATGCAGAATCCAAGAGCTTGTCTGATCTCAGAGACCAGTAAGAAAGAGGCACCAAAAGTTCTACACACCAGTGATTCTTGAGGTCAGGGGCAGACTGATTTATAGGGTCATCATTCCTAAAAGGAGAGGGACTCTGAAGACAGGACTTACTTTGACTAATGAAAGACAGGGCTTCAGAGAGATAATGAGGCTAACTCCCTTTGAGTCATCCCCCTCAGCCCTCCCCCAGAGCCCGTTCAGACACTAGCTACTTAGAAATTGTACAAGCCCGTCTGATGCTTAACTGCCAGGGTTCCTGGCTAGCTTTCCCTGGCCCCCAGCTTCACTGGATAGACTTTTCCACCTTCCTTTCATTAAATCTGCCTTTGCTTAACTACTCGTTCTCAAGACTGAAGGCTACTCAACTTTATTGTTTATCTTGTTCTTTGATTATTAATACTGTAACATTATTGACCTCTACTCTTTTTCTTTTTCTCCTTTAATCCTCCTCGAAGGATATGTTTTATTGATAGTTTGGACAGAAAAGAAGGGGATAGGGTGGGGAGAGAGAGAAACATCTATTGATTGCCTCCCGAATGCATCCCGACTGGGGATTGAACCTGCAACCTAAGTATGCGTCTTGACAGTGAATGAAAGTGACCACCTCCAGCAAAATGAGCCACCCAGCCAGTGCCCCACCTCTACTCTTTTTTTTTTTTTTTTTGGCTGAAAGTGTGCAATGTTTAGCTCTGTTGTGATTACATGGAGTTTTGTGAGCTAGCGTGGCCCCAATCACCATTTATAACATCTCCTCTCTGGGAAAGTAAATTTCTGCCTTTCAAACCACAGCTTTCCAAATGCACGTTTGGAACACAATCCATTTGTGAGCTGGGAACTCTATATTAATGTCTCTTGGCCCAGGGCAGCCCCCGCGACCAAATGACATGTGGTTTAAGGTTCATGTAACAGCCAGTTCATTTAAATAATGTTAGCTGGGGCTCAGCTTTCAGGTTCTCAGGTTTCTGGTTAATTTGAAATAGAGGAGGCAGCGGGTCCCAGTGCTCAGACAACAGCGTGGATGGGGCTCCCTGCTCCCTATAGAGAGATGGCACATTCCCGCTTTTCATGGGTTGTCCTGCAGGTTTTAGGACTGAGCCTCTTCCCAGGGAAAGCCTTTCAGTTCTATTGAAAGAAGAACTGCTTTTAAAAACCAGCTATACTTTCATGCCTGAGAGTTCAGCGAGGGTCATTCTAGTTTATTGAGTGCAGAGGCCCCCTCAGCAGGAGGGAAACCACATTTAAATCCTCCGTGGAGCCCCTTCCTCTCCCCTCCTCTCCTTGTTTCCCTTTTCCGGTGCCTCCTCTAAGAAGTGTCATCTTTACCAGCCTGACCCAGGGAAGCCAGTCTTTAATGTCATAACTGCAAAGAGTGAATATTGACTAAATACCCACAGTACTTTATGTATCTGATATCATTTAATCCTCAAAATGACCCCCGCTTGACAGGTATCACCGTCCAACGTTTTACAGATGAAGATGTGGAAGTTAGAAGAGGTTAACTGTTTCCATCTAAGAATGCACAGTAGCGCCACTGCTCCCTGAGTCCTGGCTTGTGTGGGAGGCTCAAGGCTTCATTGGGGGCGCCCCCCAGGAAAGCCTGTCCTGGATGCAAAAGTTATCATTTCTAGTGAAGACGAGGGACTTGCCACCATGATCGCTACACCTCAGGATCATTGCAAAGGTCACACTTCAACTCTGTCCCACCAAAAGCCACAATCTCATGAAAGAAAAAAACTAATGTTTCTATTTTCTCTTGACTTTAGATATGCGTCCTACTGGAAGGCTTGAAACAAGATAAGTTATAGAAGCAAAACCAAAGTGCAAGGTTCATTTTTCCTAGATTTTAAAGCCTTCTGATGTAATATACTTCTGGCCCTACTTATGCTCCCTTACCTGTGGGAATAGCTTGTTATAGTGCCTACTAATGCCAGGCATTTTATATATTTTGAATCTTTAAAGCCACCTAGTGTAGTAGGTGTGCTGTTATTATCATCCTCAGTCACAGTTAGGGACAAATAAGGACTCTGAGACACCCCCCTACTTATGACAGTCCTGTTCTCTCGCCAGGCTTGCCCAGATCCCCACTGGGAATGCTTTTCTCTCAGCCCTTTGCTCCCGTAGACTTTTGCATTTGCCTGTGTTCCAGGCTGCTTTCTGTTCCAGGTGTTGGCACCTCTGTCTTTATCAGCCACCCACTGCAAATGCTTGGGGAGCAGAGACCCTATTGTAGCCATCTTTATTCCTCTCGCACCATGCCTGGCATGGAGCCCAATGGAATCGGTGGCGTGTTCACATTTCCAGGTCATCATGCTTCTGCCCAGGCCTCTCACTGTCTCACAGAGGGAGGGTGAGGACGGGTGGCTTCCCCCAGTCCATGGCCTGCAGAGGTTCCTCCAGGAAGGAGAGAGGGCCATTGTCTCTGTGGCCACAGATCTTCCCATTCTACCCATTACAGGCCCATTGAGAACTCTGCACATCCATATGGACAAATCAGAGGCCTAATTTGTTCTCTTCACATTTTTTATGCAGTTTGGAATGTGCATATACTAGTACAACCACTTGTTGTTTTATAACGTGATGTCCTTAATCAGGACAGGGACATATTTTTGCCGTCATTTAAGATGCCGAGATGTGGCTGGGAGAAGAAAGCAGTGGGAAGGGTTCCATTCCATCTGTTATCTTAATCCTTGTGTCGAATGAACATCGATTATGGAGTCTAGCCACACAATTCTAAAAGCTTGTGGCTTGCTTGAGTGCTGGAGACATCGTTGTTTTTGTAATTTATTCTGTAAATACAGTGACCCTAGCACATCATGTAATAGTTGGACTAGTGCACACAGGGAAATAAAACACTTATTTACACTATTTCAGATGATCAGACAAATGGCTTATCATGTTTTGGGTTGTTTGTTGTTGATGTCACCTTTTTTTTTTTTTTTTTTTTTTGAAAGGATGTTAATTGTCCTAAGTTACTGAATGGCTATAAACAAAAATTTTGTGCTGGCCATGTTGAATTATGACTATTTATAAAAATTGAATATCTTGGCATAAAATTACTTATGTGTATTTAATTTTTATAGGAAACACATTTTGCCATGTCTCTAAAGAAGGGGAGTTTTACAAGAAGCCCTGGATAGGATAGTGGGCAATTTAACAAATAGACACCACTAGTTAAGATTTTCCTGAAGACCTATGGCTACCAGTCAAAGTGGCTATAGTTTGGGGGGCAGCTTTAAGTGAACAACTCAAAGGAAGTTTTGTCCTGTTATAAATGTGAAGAAGAAAGGGCATGTGTGGTCTCAGTGCCTGGCAAGACTTGAATCAGAGTCCTGCCTCTACTGCTGACTAATCTCTAAGTATTTTTGTGAGGGTCTCTATTTTCAACTTTCATTGCTATTGTGTCCATATTTGAAGTATATATTTAAGGCATTATTAGTGTGGCATGAGAATGAAAAATCTCTTGGTAATGTGTCTTCTGGGTGAAGAATCACCAAAGAAAATGGTCAGAGCTGGTCACCTGAACATGAGAAACTTGATTTTTTTACTGGGCTGGGGTGGGTTAATTATCTTTGCTTTTTAAATGGCCTGAGAGATGGAAAGGACACCAGCCAGGAACTACCTATTAGAGCCATTCATAAAAGGAAGAAAAGGTTGTGGGAGGTGAAGTTAAATTTGTTTGAATGCATGTTAATTTTGAGACATCTTTGGACATGCAGACAGAGATGTCCACAAAGACTAACCAAAGCTCAGGGGGAAAGTTAGAGGCAGA